ATGCACAAAATTAGTAGAGGAAGTGTGATGTTCTGTTTGGAAACTCTGGGTCTGATCATGTAAGTATAAATTTGACAAACGTAAACTACTGTATCTGCAGTAAGCTATGTTGCAGAGCCAGGTATACAGTACACCCATCAATGATAATGGTGATCCCTGGTGATGATAATACACCCTGTAATACTGTACACACTGTTCAGGAATGGTTTGAAGAACATGATAAAAAGTTAAAGTTGTTTGCTGGCCTGGCCTTAGAGCCAGATGTGCACGGGACACCCAGAAAGTCAGCATATATAGTTATATATATATATATATATATATATATATATATATATATATATATATACAGTTAAAGTCAGAATTATTATTATTTAACATTTTCAGGTGCACAATATTGTAGTTCTGTATATTTCTAATTAGATGTCACCTTGGTGAACATAAGACTTTTTATTTCTTTCAAAGAATTATATTGAATATTTTACACAGGACTGCCAGGGGACTCTTTAAAATCACAGATGTGTCTGTTAGTTAAGAAGGATAAACAGGATATAAGAAGAAGCGCATGACCAACTGACCTGTCTCTAATGAGATCATTAAAGCTGTCTTAAGCAGATTAAAGAGTAGTGGCATCAAGTATCAGAGATGACCTGTTGATTAAACCATTACTGGATTCAGTTAGTTTTCCTTCTCAAAGATACGTCAGAGCATACGGAAAATCACATTAAATGATGCAGAAAAGCAAGTTAGAGGAGATTAAAGCAGGTAAAGAGTTCAAATTGTACATTATGTAAGCACCCTGGAGTTCCATGTGCTGACATTAATAAATATATTAAAAATGAACAAATGGTTTGAAATGGTTATTACGATGTGTGTTCTTCTGTTTAGTTTAAAAATAAAAGTTATTTTATATTTTACATATCTTACCTTGATAGATCTGGAACACTTGGACAAAAAGAGTTGCTTGGGAATATCAATTTGTAGTTCACACACCTAAAAACATATTACATTAATACATGGAAATATCAAAAGAAGGTAAATTTACAAGAATAGATGGTGTTCATGGCTGCATTATGCCATGCTATAGCATTTAACAGATTTAAATGTATTAGCTGTTGACATTTAACAGTGGTGTTAAAGTGCCATCTGTTGGTTACTTAGAAGAAGTGAAAGTTTTCTATCTATCTATCTATCTATCTATCTATCTATCTATCTATCTATCTATCTATCTATCTATCTATCTATCTATCTATCTATCTATCTATCTGCCCTACAAACACACAGACACGTCTGTTTTGGGATGGTTTTTTTATCCATAAGGGGCTTATAAAGGGCTCACGTCGCGTGTAAATAAACAAAATAAGATACCAAAAATATTAATATCAAATGAGGCCTACCTATGCGTGTGTTTCTGGATTCTTGAGCGCATTTCTATGTATTGCTTGCATGATTAGATAGGATAGGATACTGTTTTCTGTCAGTAAAACTGTAAACACAAGATGATTAGCGAACTCACCTTCAAAGAGTGATTAATTAACCACATAACCTAGACCATATTTTCGTACATTTCATCATACACAACTCTAACTAGCGTTACGCTTTGGCTATCAGTTACTGCCGCGTTCACGAATTTTGTAAAGTTTCTTTGGTTATGTGGAAACAGTTTGACGACGCACACATTCTCATTGGCTGTAGTTCAATCATGAACGTCATCCTTGCGTAACCGACGAAGAAAAAAATTAACTGTCTATACGTGATAAAGTGCTATCAACTTTACTTTTACTGAATGAATATGTTCTTTTATTTATTTATTTTTTTATTTTTTTATTTTTTTCTATAATGAGAAGTTGGAAAATTGAGCTTACGTTAATAATCTTTTGATTATACTTACCAAGTTTTATATCTATCGTTGTAAGTTTAGCAGTCAGAAACCTCTTCAGTGGTACTCAAAGCAGAAATTTTTAATACTATTAAAGGGAGTACAAACAAAAAAAGCTCTGTATTTGTTTGACACGTTTAAGTTATTGTGAGTTAGTAAGGCTAGCATTATTTATAATATTTTTTTTATTTTCTTTAATTGTAATTTTATGTTGTTTGAGTTTTTGTACTTTTATATAACTTTAAATGATAAATAAAAAATATATACATATAAACAATATATATACATATGGGGAACTGTCTGGGTAGGTTACAAATGCAGAAATCATCTTCATTTATAGGAAAATTTTGAAAAGTAACTGTAGAATTATATAAAGAAATTCAATGAAGGTCAATGAAGGCCTTCTGCAACAGTGAATATCAGATTCTTGCCACTCACATGACATCTCTGTTCTTTATCAATCCTTAGTATACTACTAGCAAATCTGAGACTACCATCTGTGACTTAACCTTAGGCCTAATTTACTCCAACTACTTCTGTGTTTAGATTACTTTTTGGTCACATTTGACAGAAATTGCTTAATGATAATAATTACTAATAACTTGCTTTAATGCTTTTACGTTGATCCATTTGAATAATTTTACCTTGTATTATTAAGCATAGCTTGCTATTTAATTTAGAATTAATTTAGATTAATTTATGCCAAACAACACATTTTAGAGAGAGAAATTAAAAATAATCATATTTTGAATTACTAGTTAGCACTGTCGCATCACAGCAAGATGGTTGCTGGTTCAGTTGGCGGTTCATTGTGGCGACCCCTGATGAATAAAGAGAGTAAGCTGAAGGAAAATTAAAGAATGAATGTTGTGAACAATATACCCTATAACCATGCATCATTAGAAAGTTACTGTAAACTGATAACATTTTGAAATGCAATGACATAAATGCAATTGCAATTTTATTTGGACTACCCAGCATAGGGAACAAGTAAACAAATAACAAATGACCGTAATTGCAATAAATAGTTTATTCTGACCAGAAAAATAGACAAGAAATACGTGAATAGTACTGTACACACATTCTTACATATACTCTTGACATATATAATCAGTTTTATTCACCGGGTTACCCTCAACCCCCATTTCATCCAAAAATACCATACACTGAAAATAGAGGACATTTTTTTAGACTCAAAATATTTGAGTTTTCAGAGAACACCGACCTCACTGACAAAATATACATTCATATGAAGCGAATAAGCCTGATGTGAATGAAGACACGAAAGGTTTTTATTCACAAAGCTGATATTTAGATGGACGCCTCTTTAAAATGTCCATTTGCTTATGATAACCTGGACTTGACGAAGCACCAAAATTCCATAAACAGCCACAAAACCATGACTGCTACAGAAACCACCATACTGAGAGAGCTAAAACAAGGTCCTTCCTTCTTCAGTCTTCCTGCTAAAGCACTTCCTTCTAGTTCATGAGGTCTTTGTGTGATTTTACTTCACTTATGAAAGGCTCCATGTGATGAAGGTGGAAAGCAGCGAGTTTCAGATATGACAGGCTGATCATCAACCTATCAATGAGACATTTGGAGCTTAAACTGTGCTTGGATACTCATAAGCTGAGGCCAGGAGATCTGGCTGTAAACCTTCAAAGTTATATACTGTATCAGGGATGATTCAAGCAAATAAAGAGTTTTCTGGAGTCAAATCGTAAAAGGAACATTTTAGTTGTTTTACTCAGTAAAGTTTATTTATAAACTTATTTCGAGAGGATCACATGTTAATGATTGCTTCCAGCTGGTCCCGCATTATCCAATTTATGACTCACCAATCAGACGACTCCTAAGCCACTATAAATACCCTAAGTTCCATATAACAGCCATCTTCTGTTCATTATCTTCAGCCTACTCCGTTTCCCTTCCTAGATGAGTTGCATGGTGCACAGTGGTTAGCACTGTTTCCTCGCAAGAAGAACGTCACTGGTTCTAGTCCTTACCAAGCCAGCTGACGTTTCTCTACGAAGTTTGCATGTTCTCCCCATCCTTATATGGGTTCCCTGTTTTCCTCCCACCATCCAAAAACATTCAATTTAAGTTAATTGACTAATCCAAATTGGCACTATAGACATGCTCCTATTAAATAGTTATCTCTTAAGAGCAATCACTATGTGTTCATTAGCTACTTCAGCAGGGGAGTTCTTGATCGACCTGAGCTCAAACTCCCCTCTCGCCTTGCAAATGGGAGGGAGCCCCAGGCTCGAGGATCTTATGAGCTCAGGGCTCTCTCCAGGGACGGCATACCAAACAAGCATTATAATCAATCATCAGCTAAGTGTGAACTCCTGAAAGAATTGTAAGTCGATTTTGGAGCAGATTGAGTAAATTACGGTTATGACTGCTCAGGTAATCAAAAACAAAGCTGATGTCGCTAAATAGTTTAGTGCAATTGTCATCAAAATGATATGTGCTGGTGCTTCAGAATGAACTTTAGAGTGAACTTTTCACATGGGAAAAACTGATGCAGAAACTGATCTCTGCAGCTGATCTACAGTAAGTTTGGTTCACTTTTAACCTGCACTGTGAAAAAAACAATGCACCATGTGCCAACATTTTCTCAAACATGTAATGAGAAGCAGGCTGTTGTCAACTAAACAAAAATATCCTGCAGCTGATGGATTGAGAATAAAAAAAAGAAAAAAAAAAGTGCTTTATTGTTACTGTTGTACTGGTGGTGGATGAGGAGAATCCCCCCAAAATGTGTTGGAATTATTATTAGTACTATTATAAGTAAAATGTACTATTATTGTCTCAAATAGAATGTTTTTTATTTTATGGCATTGTTAAAATACCATTGAAACATTTATTTTTTTGTTTAATATTGATTAAGCAGTAATAATAGTTATTATTTTATGTATAGTGATAAATGATAACATTTTAAGCCAAACTGTGCAGCCTTACAAAGCACAGAAATCCTGGAGCTTAAAAATAATTAATTGCTTTTTGAATCACAATTTAACAAGATTTATTTCTTTAAATAGTGCTACCTGAAGCTTAAAGAAAAACAATCTCATTTGGGGGGGAAAAGCAATTTGATGCAGGCATTATATGAACCTCCATCCAGTGAAGAACAATATTATCTCAAGTTACCACAAGATGGTGCTGCTCTCCACTCAATATTTCACGTTGGATTGATACATTCACTTCGAAACTGAGGCAGATAAAGAGGAATGCTGTGAGACATGTTATTGGAATTGCTGGCTGTGGAATTTTGGCTTTCCAGTAGAGGCCTGGGGTTTACACCCATCACTCTTTTATTCTTACTTTGACCCTCCTCTGGTTCGTCTTCTTCTTCTTCTTCTTCTTCTTCTTCTTCTTCTTCTTCTTTCTCCTCTCCGGTCATCTCGAGGTAATAGAGGTCTTTAGCTAAACCTGTGTTTTCCGAAGCTTCATAATCAGGTTCTGATGTTTCCGAAAACTCCTCCACAGAGTTGTAGGAGCTGGAATGGCGAGGATTGCTGTTCTCCAAGTCCCAAAGTCCTCCAGGGAAGGAGCCGGAAATGTCCGAGTTGTTGGCAGAGAAGTTGCCTTCGTCACTGGAGCTGCTGAGACTCTCCTGCTGCTTTTGGAGTTGGCTGGGCTGGTCGGAGAGGAGGATGGTGGAGTACGTGACTGAAGACTGGCCTGATGTTTCTGGAGTGGGAGCAGCAGTAGATGCTTCCAGAGCTTCAGAAGAGTCTCCCTGAAGGCCAGAGTCTGTGGTTGTCTTGTCCCCGGAGGGAAGTTCTTCATTGTCTTTTACGTTTTCAATGGTAAGAGGATGAGGTTTCTCGATGATTTCAACCTCACAGATGCTCTCGGAGACAAGCAGCAATGGACAGGCAGTGAGACCCTCTGAATGAGGGAACAGGCTCTCCATGGTGTCAATCTGCAAGGGACCAGAAACATGTGATGATCCATTTTTGAACGGTTTCATGAACCATTTTGAGTCCCTGGCTTTTTAGTTCATTGTGATTAGCTATATTTTCCTTCAAATGTGCAATGTAAGCTTGTGCACAAACTGGAATATGTCATAAAACATTTGCAAATAAAGCACAGTTTGCATTTATTGAGTCACAGAGAACAAAATCAGCACTTCCTGGTAGAACTGGTAATAAATATCAAAAAGAAAAATTTGCTGCAGTAGAAGCCACCTCAGAAGATAGACAACACAATGAGTATACAGTGGCTTTTAGATGCGTGAGACCACTCTTTGGGAGTGTAGCAACTTGAAGTTCTGAGAAGTACACTGTAAAACCCAACAGTCAACTTTATCCAATGAAATGAGTGTAGTTAACTCAAAATTGACTGAAAGTTAATTCTACAAACTTCAAAAACGTTTAGAGTTGCGTGTTGAATGTTATGAGTTAATTCAATACTTCATTACTTCAACTTAAATGGAGTTAGTTCACAGCACATATATAGATTTGTTTTTTAACTCAAACGGTTTGAATTGCTTAACTCACTGGCTTTTAAAGTACTCAGTTGGTTTGAGTTCTCTTCTTTTAATGGGTTTTACTGTGCTCAAATTGCTTTGTTTACTTAACTGGATTAGGATCACAGTACTCATTAAGATTAGTTTTTGAACTTAAATCGTTTGTTGCAATCGATTTCCTCTAATGGTTTGAGTTACCTTAATTTTGGGTTTTACAGTGTACTAATACCAAACCACTTTAATGACAGATTTTGGCTGAGGGTTTTTAGAATGGACAAAACAACACTCCAGATGCTGTGCAAAGTGGTCAGTTTGCTGGTTTGTCCAATTATATCATCGCATTGTGTCTGACTTTTTTGGAAAGTATTTACATTAAAGTATGTACATTTAATAAATGTGTTTCCATTGTAGTTTATGCACATATTTGTTTCTTATCACATTAAAAACTTAGCAGCAATAGCCTGATGTTTAAGTACATTGACATTTAACACAGAGGTGCTCATGGTGACCCGAGTTTGATTCCCAGCTTAAGGTCATTTGCTGATCCTTTCCTTCTTATTGTCTCTGGTCTATACTCTCCATTGTCTTGTCAAATAAAAAGGTGAAAACCCCCTAAAAATAACTGTAAAAAAAGTTTATCTTAAGTTTTTATGCACATTTTCAAAAATGTATGCATATCTTGGCATCTCCATCAAGGTGGATGAAATCGTGACAATTTATGCATATTTAAAGGTGCAGTATGTAAGTTTGACACCCAGGGTTGAACAGGCTATGGCATTCTTGGATCAAAACAAATGCAAGCACAGGTCACCAGATTGAGGACAGACAAGGCTGATTTAAATGTGCCTTATTCAGTGTTAAATGCTAATAATGTGAGTTTGAGCGCCATTTTACATTAAATTAATTGCCATATACTGAAAGCAGCAACAATAAACGATTTGAAATTAAACTTTAAATCTGTAAAATAATGCAAACCAACACATATAAGTGATTCAGCATCTACATTTAATAATGTTAAAGAGGGTTAATATGAATTAATTAGATTACCATTTAGTGAGTGCATATTCTGTGCTTCTGAATGGCTGTATTTAAATTTCTGTCATGTTTCGTCTGGTGCAAACAGCCAAATTGTTCATCGCTGTAAATCTCGTCAAGTAGCATGTTAAGTCCTGAAATTACAATGTAATTTCTGTCCACTGGAGGTCGCATTTCTAAATGACTGAATGAAATATGCAGTTTTCCGAGGTAATTGGTTAAACTGGTATTGTGCAGGTGAAAAGAGCCAAAACAAAGACAGCGTTCAGGCATGGAAAACACATTTTCAGAGCAGATTATCTGACTTCAGCATTGCTTGTAGATAAACAAGAATGCTCACTTAGAATGTTTCTTAAATATCTGCAAACATAGTATGGTATTTTCTAAGAGTCAAATACTTACATACAGCACCTTTAAGCATATATTTTCTAAATGACAATTTTCACCTAAATTACAGGGGGTAAAATGACTTCAGAAAGATAATATTATCAGGGAACCAGGTAAGCAAAACACAAATCATCAACACTTTATGCAGTGTGAATTTTATTTACAGTACATACACACTCTAAAATTTGCAGTGCATACTATTACTTGCTGTTAACCTTTACAAAAAAGTGTTTGTTTTTAAAACTGATATTTTTATGGTCATACATGAGCTAAGATACAACATGCAAGGTGATCACCCAACCAGGTAAAAAACAATAATCTTTTGTCTCTTGAATCTAGTATGTTTCTATAACAGTAGGTCACACTAACCTGCCTGAAGTCCATTCCTTTGGCCCAAGAGCACTTGTTGGGATTTGGAACATCCTTCCACATGAGTTTTTTCATCCTGTAAGATTATGGATTATATGAAAATTAATTTCAGCAGAACTGTACTGTGATAAATGCATATTTTTTATTGTACATATTTAATTATTTAACTTTCTACACTACTCCTTTTATTAAGCTTTTGTACACATATCTTTGTGGTGATATTACCAGAGTGTCTGGTCTAGTCTTGTCAGAAAAGTAGTATTATGTTTGTGTTAGTTGCCATACACTTGTAGTTGTCTATGTTAGAGCTTGTGAAATATTTACCCTCAAGCAAATTACTGCATTGTAATTCACTTTTCTTATACATTTATATCCCACTGTAATCTCATGTATGTATTTCTCATCAATATTCTGTCTTTTAAATATTGCATATGATACAACTTACAATGCCTTGCTTTAATTCTAACAAAATCAATATATACTATAGCATCAAACAAACGTCTTAAATCTCTCTCAATGTGTTTATCTTCTAGCTTAAAGGTGATCTAGATAAACTGACTTGACTGTTTTCTAAGAAATTTTGTCGGGGCAAATTTTATTCAGCCTCGGTTTTATTCTCTGTTTATCTACTGGTAAATAAAGAGACAGTGGACGTTCAGTCATGTGTATAAAACTGTCTCATTTAGTGTCTGAGCTCAAATAACCTGTATGAGCATTCATGCATTTACAAACTTTGTTATGGTAGTCAATTTGCAAAAAGCAATTTAAATGCTTATCAGTGATTTATGAAGTCATATTCTTGCACCTTATAATTCAGCCTGATATCAATTAAATAATTGAGCATAACATTACACTCATAAATACAACTATAATGAAAGCTACCAATGACTAGGGCCAGACAGAATCTGCTGACATTTTTTGCTATTTCTGAACAGAAATTTGTAAAAAAAAAAAAAAAATCTGTGAATATATGTGGAATGATACCTTTGTAACTTTTATTTGCAAATTCAGTTAGATTCACTTATTTGGTAAACAAAAGAAGTCTCTCATATAATTTATCAACTAAAAGACAAAAAACAGATCTTTATTTACACACATTTACAGTCAAATAGAGTAGTAATAAAACAGAATCAAAAAGAAGTTAATAAACAGAATCAATGTTTGGCTAAAAATCTGCAGGATTCTGTGTGCTCAGATTCCGTTAGGACCTACCAATGACTTTTGGTTTAATTGTCATTTTAAAGGATTAGTTTAACCAAAAAATTGAAAATAATTTTATTAATTACTCACATGTTCCAATCCCCTTACAACTTGATTTTGATTCAATCCAAAAGCTCTATGACCCTCCAATGATCCTGAGATGTTTTAAACCCAGAGAAAGAACAAAAAATCATTCCATGTGGTGTTTTTTTTTTTTTGCAGTTGTTGGGGGGTTTTTTTGTGCGCAAAAGTGTTCTTGGAGCTTCGGTTGGTTATAGTTGAACCATAGTTTTTGGTTCCTTTTCTGGACTTAGAAGGTCTTGTGACCCTTGCTGTCTATGAAGGGTCAAATAGCTCTCAGATTTAAAATACCTAAATATCTTAAAATGTCTTTCATCTTTAGAACAAGGTCTCAAAGGATCAGAAAAACACAAATGTGAGTAAATAGTAAACAACTTTCATTATTTGAACTAATCCTTTAATTCTATACATCAAAATCAAGTGAAACAATTGCCAGATCCCTAAGATTCAAAATTTGTTGCTGTGAATATCGTAATCTTGGCCAATAGAAGAAAGTTTTAGGTCTTACTGGTTCTGTGACATCATCAGTGTGACAAACAGCACCACTGACAGGAAGGCGATGATCAGTAGCAGTATATACGCTGCAGGATCACCCCTTGTAGCTGACAAAATGACAAAACAAAAACAGGTAAAAACACATTTACTCAAATCAATCTGATTTTTTTTACATTTTCATTGGATAATCATACATAATAATTTTAGAACAGTGTTTTCTAACCCTGATCCTGGAGGGACACCAACAGTACATATTGTGGATGACTCTATCTGACCCATTCATTTCAGATATTTGAGTCTCTTCTAATGTTCTGATGAGTTGATTCAGGTGTGTTTGATTAGGGAGATGTTGAAAATGTATGTATGTTGGTGTGCCTTTAGGAACAAAGTTGGGAAACACTATTTTAGGGCACTATTAAATTAAATGAAAAACTCATCCTTAAGATAATTATCCAATCAATGCACATAAACCACTTTTCTATGGACCAAATATACATAAAAAGGACTTTACTGTGTGAAAAATGATGATGTCAATGCTTTAATTGATGTCACTGTGGTACAACCCACCTGTGTATCGAGCCGGTTCCCCTTCACCATCCGCAAACACTGGATACAAGGTGAACTCCTCTGAGCCATAAAAACGACCTGCATAAAAACAAATTATATTGTCAAAGACGAGAGGACTTTCTTTTCTTTCAGGATGCTTAGCACGTGCTGATATGACAAAATGAGTAATATAAAGTAAATAACATACGGCAAAGAGAAAGATCTCTCGATCTGGACTCAACCCTGACCCACTGTATTCTTTCTGTGAGAGACACATCCTTTTCGGGGTCTTTGTTCAGGTCTAACCATTCAATAACAAATGACTGAGGCACCGGCTGATCAGATAACAGGCTCCAGGAGAGGTGCACACAGCTCACATTTGCAACTGCACTGAACGAACGCACACATCGCCCTAAAAAAACAAAAGAGGGACATTATTAATTCAAATAAAAAAACAAATCTTTATCATTTATATTTGAAAAACACTTAGGGCCCCATCATACATCAGGTGCAATAAGGTGCAAGACATGTTTGGTGAAAATTGTTGCTGTTTTCAGACCAGCACAACTCATTCATGTTTTGCACCACGTTGTTTAAATAGTGGACTCATGGGTGTGCCGGTGTAGAAAGGAGGTGTGTTAAGGCACATTGTTGCCGCTTTGCTTTTTTGAGGAATTGAAATAGACCTGACTAACTGAAAGCAGCAAGTCTAAAGTCCAGCGCAGAGTGCGTTAGTTGTGCGCCTATGCGAGTCTTAACACTTACATATTGCTTAATACACACAAAAGGATTGAAATTATTATTTTCTACATACATATAAAAACCACTGCCTCCATGCCTTCTTCATCTCGGGGGCTTTTTTCAGTTTATTCATGACAATTAGCATTTTTATTATGTTATTATTATTAGCAGCGTTTTTTATTATATTAGATTAGATTCAACTTTATTGACATTTCACATGTACAAGTACAAGGCAACAAAATGCAGTTTAGGTCTAACCAGTAGTGCAATAGCAGCAAGTGCAGGATACAGGTATAAGTTATAAAGTGCAGTTATAGAAAAACTATGGTGATATTTACAGATGAATGTACTACGAACATTATATACAGGTTGTTTTAGCTATGAACAGAGATTTACAATAACTGAATATATGTACAGGTTGATATTAATAATCAGAAGTGTGCAGATAGATAAACATAATTACAAATGTATATGTACAGTGGGTGTGTACATAATTACAAATGTACATGTGCAGTGGGTGTGTACAGATCAAATAAATGAATCAGTGCAATGAAACTGTGAACACTTAAAGTTATGATTGTTCATTTATTTGTTTGCAGGAAATTAGAACTAAATTTTGAAACAAATCTTTGCGCTTAACAAACTAAATTAAATATGTAGGCTAATGGATGTCTTCGGTGAAGTGCGTAAAACACCGTTTCCTTACTTCATGAAAGTAAAGGAGTAAAGAGTAAAAGTCAAGTAAAGAAAAAGTAAATAGGCCGAATGGAGGAGGCTCGTTCTTTATCCTTGAACTGCCGATAGTCTGTAAAACTGTTTTCTCACTAGTGAAGCATTCAGTTTTTCAACTTACAAAGTCTGCCATAAAAATAGCAAATGCACCACACCCTTAATGCGTCTGCGGCATGTGCTTTAGACTTTGCACCTAGATCGTTAAAAAAGAGCCCTTAGGGCAGGGGTGTCCAAACACATTCCTGGAGGGCCGGTGTCCTGGAGAGTTCCAACTTGCTTTAACACACCTGCCGGGAAGTTTCTAGTATATCTAGTAAGAACTTGATTAGCTGGTTCAGGTGTGTTTGATTAGGGTTGGAGAAAAACTCTTCAATACACCGGCCCTCCAAGATCGACTAGGACACCCCTGTCTTAGGGTGTAAGAACTCCAAATAACAAGTAGAAACAAAGCATTACCTTTCTTCATAATCTAAATATGAAATAACAAATAATTTTAGTACTATTTGATACTATTAAAATTTGTGCCAATTTTTCCCAACCCTAAGCTTCAATCATAAAACACAGTCAGCAGGCAGAAAAATAAGCCAAACAAAACTGTTTTCTTCAAATAAAAACACCAGAAATCCTGTGTGATGTTACAGCATCAGCATGTCAGCTCACGTTTGGCTTGACGTAAGAGCGTGATGTTTCTGTTCCATGTGGAAATGCCCAAAGCGTTGCGAGACATCACAGTGACTGTATGCGCTTCCTTCCTCCACTGGAATGAGTGAAACCGAGCCAAGGTTGTTTCATTTGACCACATGACTCCACCTGAGGCCTGGTGTTTAATCACTAAACCCTCCACGCAGCTATTTGGATCTCCTGCTAGAATGGGCTGCTAAAAAATGAAAAAGAAAAAAAAACATTCAAGCTCAGACTTTTTACATCACATTACATTGCTGGCAGAAGAAGCCAATCAAGTAAGTCTTCAACAACCTTAAAGATCAGTGTAACGTTTGTCACATTCCTAGTAGGATCCTCTTGTAAAATGCGCCAGAAGTCTGGTCCCATCTCTGGTGCTGAAATGACACACCATATAATCCTGAGTACTTCCAGCACACTACAGTTTGTACATTAAATGTTTTAAAGGGTTTATTGTAGTTACTGATTTGACATGTAAATATGGTCCTTTTTAACAGAGATCATGATGTCTTGTTGCATATCAGTTTTGTTTTTTACATTTTCAATTTGCGTGCATAGAGGAGATAAAAGAGACAATTGATTACTAAGGCAGTAAAAAGGAGAAATAGAGAGGAATAGAAATATAGGGATTGGATTGGATTGGATTATTTAAGATTGGATTTAAATATCAATGAATATGCATTCATGTTATGTTGTTTAGTTTAGTTTTTAGTTTAGTGTAGTTTTTTGTTTTAATTAAGGGAATTTTTTTTGGTTGAGTTTTTATTTTATTTACTTTTTGTTTTAGTTTAGTTATTTTGTCTACTTTTTGTTAAATTTGGGGGTTACTTTAGTCTAGTTTTACTTTAGTTTTTAGTTTAATTTGAGTATTTAAAGTGTGTTTTCTTTTCAGTTTAGTCCCTGTATTAATCAGGGGTCACCACAGTGGAATGAACCGCCTAAAGTGTGTTTTACTTTAGTCAAATTTGTTTAGTTGTTTAGTTTTCTGGTTTGTTTTAGTTTAGTTTATCTGTTAGTTTATTTTTTCCTGTTTGTTTTATTTAGGAAGGGTGTTTAGCTTAGCTTACTTTATCTTAGTTTTAGTTTTGTGCTCACAAAAGTTGAATGTATTTGATTAAAATGTGCAACTGATGGTCATTTTTGAGGATTCTCCTATAATAAATACATTTTAAAAAGCATAATTATGAAACTTAATTATCAAATGAATTACAATCCACATACAGTACATGCTAAATATAAATGAATTAAACTTTAAAAATTAAATTTAATATCTAATGTCATATTTAATAAACTTTTAATTTCATTTGACCACCTTCAAAGATTTATAAAATATTTTAAATAAAAATAACATATGTCATATTTAATAAGATATCATTCAGGAAGCAGATTTTTAGTCCTATTTTTAAAAAGTACAGTCACAAAAAGAGAAAACTTGACAGAAGGTAGAAAAATGGGATTGGAAAACCACAAGTCACAACTTGCACTGGATTGTTTGAATTTCTGTAGAAATGCATTGAATTCTGGGGTGCTATCCAAATAATTCATTCATTCATTTTGTTTTTGACTTAGTCCCTTTATTAATCAGGGGTCGGAATAAACCACCAACTTATCCGGTATATGTTTTACAAAGAGAATGCCCTTCCAGTGGAAAACACCCATACACACTCTCACACACATACACTACAGCTAATTTAGTTTATCTGATTAACCTATAGCGTCTGTAGACTCTGGGGGAAACTGGAGCACCCGGAGGAAACTCAGGCCAATACAGAAAAAACATGTATTAACATGTAACATAGAAACGCCAACTGACCCAGCCGGGGCTGGATTCAGCGACCTTCATGCTGTGAGGCGATTGTGCTACCCACTACGTCACCATGACACCCTATCCACAATCTTATGACCTAATTTTTGCTTTTGCTAAGAAAACTTATCATATGAAGAATATATCTCCATTGTCTATCATTAGCAAATTTCAGACTACAAACCTCTAGTTATGTGTTCACTTAACTTAGAAATGAGGAGTGTCAGATTCCTAAACCCCGTACTTACTGTAACAGACAAGAATGACTGATAATATCTTGAAATGCTGAAGGCAATTCTCCTGGTAATAGTTGCTTATGAAAAAATGTCTCGGCATGAGATATGCCACCATGACACACCTCTGCACCAACATAAAGATTTTAGAAAGGTGCTGTAAGAGTTGATAAATGGAGTTTCAGGCACGTATTGATTTTCACACTGGCAACTGTGTTCCAGTTCAGGAAGTCAACATGTTATGCAATATACATTAATCTTAATGAACTTCCTATCATAATTCAATTCGATTAAAAATACTCTCTACAACACAAAGCCAATTTCTTTTCAGAGCTATTTAAATGATTACAGTCAGTGTGACAAATTAAACCATGCTGCTCCAGAAGCAATTATTTGAATAAATTTAGCATCCAGAAACTCAATGCTTGATTCTGCTTATTTAATATAATGTAATTGGTTACATTTTTACAATAATGGTCAGTTAATATTAGTTAATGTATTTATTAACTAACCAACCATTTCCTAATCATAATTCAAGATTTATTTTATATTAACAGTGCACAGTGAATACCATTTAACTTAACATCAACTAATGTAAAGTTGGCATGGATTCAAAATTCATTCATTCATTCAATTTCAACTTAGTTCCTTTATTAATCCGGGGTCGCCACAGCGGAATAAGCCACCAACTTATCCAGCACATGTTCTACGCAGCAGATGCCCTTCCAGCTGCAACCCATCTCTGGGAAACATTTACACACACTCATTCAAACTCATACTCTACATACAATTTAGCCTACCCAATTCACCTGTACCGCATGTCTTTGAACTGTGGGGGGAAACCAGAGCACCCGGAGGAAACCCATGCGAACGCAGGGAGAACATGCAAACTCCACACAGAAACGTCAACTGACCCAGCCCAGGCTCAAACCAGCGGCCTTCTTGCTGTGAGGCGACAGCATTACCTACTGCATCACTGCATTGCCGGATTAAAAGTTAATCTCCTCTTAATTTTATATGTATATACAGTATGCTTTTCATAAACAATTTTATAAACAATATAAACATTTTATTTATCTCCATAATGTTTTATCAAATACCATAACCTTCACTTTTTCCCTCGAAACAACTTTTCTTTACTTCTGTTCACATAAAATGCCTTTCAGGTCCGGATATTAGTGTGTCTTGCTTTTGACTATTAATCAATCTTTCAACTGTCCAATCAGTTCCCAACTGACAAAATAATGCACTGCCTTCTCATTTCAAGACCATTTCATTTGGACGTATGTCACAATTTTAGAAAAGGAACAAGCTTAACTTCCATTTCATTGCTTTTCAAGATGAATATATACTGTAATAAATGTATTATGAATTATTTGGTCATGTTAGCAAATACATTAACTATCATTAACTAAAGGACAAATTTAAAAAAATGCTACCATGAAATGTAGATTGTTAAAATACTTTTTGCATGTTTCTTGTTTTTATCATTCTAAATGCCATGATATATACATGATATATATATAATGTCATCAGCCCTCTACAACCTCCTAAACATTATATGTTTTCTTCATTTATATGATATTCTCACAAAAAAGTTATTCATTATAACTTATACAAACAGATGGCTATTCTGAAACAGGTCTGAATCACATTTGCATTTAAGGCCAAGATGAACTGTTTTATACTATTAAATCATGACTTACAGTAAATATACTAGGGTATCAATTGTTAAATAAACAATGTCATACCTAGAGGTTTTGTCTTGTTTCTAGTCCCAATATCTAAATATTATTTTGCTTATCCCCAGGCAAAACATTAAACGAAAATAGATTTTTACATATTACTAATCAAAAATTAAGTTTTGATATACTTATAGAAACTTACTTTATTTTTATGGAAAATGATTTTTACTTGGAATATTCTAATCATTTTGGGCATAAATAAAAATCTATCATTTTGACTCCATGTATTTTGGGCTATTCTCAAAAATACCTCAGTGCAACATAGGCATTTTTGTGGTCCAGGGTCACATTTACAAAATCAACTGTAATGATAAAACTAACACAGTAGTCAGTCCGAAAATGGTGGATTTGATAACAAGTCGTTGCTCATTAAATGGTTTATGACTAACCAGAGAAACAATGAACAATCTAAATCGTTTGAAAATTAATATCATAGAAAAACAATATCTGCTATTTTGAAACCAGAATGACCTTTAGGTGTGATTACCAAATAAATTGCAGGGCACAATATAAGAATTCTGCTATATAACTAATAGTAGCATAACTTTACTGTAAAATTTACCTTTCAAGTTGAAAACAGTGGAAATGTGACTATTGCTCCAGTCGCTCCAGTATCCAGTGTCGTTCACGTCTTTACAGCGAACTTCTACTTTAAAGTGAACACAGGACTCCTCAAGCTGAATCTCTGCCTGTGGTTCCAATAGAGGACCAATGACCTGTAGATGACATATAACACTCATCTGTAAATGCCAGAGAAAATTACAGATGCTATCTCCGAGTGCAACCAGATTTCTACTGATAAAAGTTCTAATTTTAGTAAGCGAAGTAAGGATAATACTGTTTTTAATTTAGGATCAAATTTCAGTTTCAAATATTTCAATTATACCTCTGAAAAGATCAGACCGCAGAATTTTATTGCTTGCCTTCTTTGATTGAGCACTTTTCATGAAGAATTTACTCCGGTATATTTTATTAATCTTTCTGGTTTCTTTGTCCACCTGGGACCCCAGCTTACGAAAACATATTATTACCTTCCATTGCGTATTTGCCATTCCAGCCAAAGCCTTGAATTGCAGCTCGTACTGCATGCCGTATACAGGCAAAGAGGGGCGTTTCCACCTTACACTCAGGGTTTTACTCGGCAGAGTGATTGCCTCCAGATCAAAGGGAGGTGACGGTTTCACTGGAAATGTAGAAATCAAGTGAAAATTATTAGTCACGGTTAACAAGAAATTAAAAGCATTTCATAGGTATCAAAATAAACAATTCTTTACCATTTATTTTAGATAAATTAATAATTATATCCAGGAAAGATGCATTGCATTACTTAAAAATGATAGTGAACTTCCTATTTATTAAAGAAATACATCTACAAAAATATTATGCAGCATGAATTCTGAAGGATCATGTGAAACTGAATATTAACAATACATAATACTTTCATAAGCACTAATTAATTTGAGCAACAGTTTTTATTTGTAGGTATATTTCATTCTCCTAATATACAGTTGAAGTCAGAATTATTAGCCCCCCTGAATTATTATCGCCCCTGTTTATTTTTTTCCCCAATTTCTGTTTAATAACTTAACTAGGTTAATAAGGTCAACTAGGAAGGTTAGGGTAATTAGTAATAAGTAATAAGTAATAAGTAATAAGTAATTGGTAATAAGCTATTCTATAACGATGGTTTGTTCTGTAGACTACCGAAAAAAAAATTGTTTAAAGGGGCTATTATTTTTGTCCCAAAAATTGTTTTAAAAAAATTAATAACTGCTTTTATTGTAGACGAAATAAAACAAATAAGACTTTCTCCAGAAGAAAAAATATTATCAGACATACTGTGAAAACGCCCTTGCTCTGTTAAACATCATGTGGAAAATATTTGAAAAAGAACAAAAAATCAAAAGGGGGCTAATAATTCTGACTTTAACTGTATGTGTATATATATATATATAAGAATATAAGAGTTAATACAAACATCTGAAATTGACACATTGGCATATGCAATAGAATTTTCAGTATTGAATTTATCCTAATTTCCAGTCAGCAATTCAGTCTGTAATCAAAGTCAAAATTAACATCTTAACTTTTTTCAGAATAAACTTTGTAGCTCACCATAGTCAATAGGCGTAACGTAGACAGGAAACGATTGGCCACGTCCTCCTTCCACTTCAAGCCAGAATTTATAGCAAAAGATCATGCTGATTTGGCTTAAGGTGCACTGTCTGTGATCTCCTGCTTTAGATGGACACTCTTTCACCAAAGACGTGTCTTCTTCAGCTTCTTCAGTGCACTTTGATCTGTATTGTCTACGACACCCATATGCATCTTTTATAAATCCAATATTAGTTTTGGTAAAAACATGCATTTGTTTTCCATATTTATGTAAACAGCACATATACAACGTATATTTCTTTTGTATCTTGTATTCTTGTATATTTCTATGAAGGGAGCGCAATTGTCAATCTGAAGCTGATCGCTCAAACATATTCTTTCTCAAATCCTTTTTTTTTTTGTCATTCAAAGTGGATGATGGAACATTCGAAAAGAATAGGGCATAGGACATAGAACCAGGAACTATGCTTGTAACTACAGCTCTAGAGGAGTAGTTGCAACCATACCAGTTTGCGTCATAGCTTGCGAATAGTTATTGAAATGATGAATTCGGCAAATGCCAAATTGATTAACTATGATTGTAGCAAGAGAACTTGTGACCTTAATTGACTAACAAAATGCACCCCAAGACTGTGACTTACTCATTTCAAATTATGGCTTGCACTTCTGGTTTAAGGAACAATAATCCTAACCCTACTTTTGCTGCAGATAGGCTCATTTCTAAGTTTTGGGGTTATTCATGGTCTACTTAAATAATAATTTGTTAACTGTAATGCAAGCTGCTTTTTGACATTCTAAGAATGAACTGTGTGGAGAATAATAGCACAAAATTGTACCCAGTTTTCACTGATTGTTTACAGTTCAATGAAAGTGCATTATGCATTTATGCACAGCATCATAAATAAAAAGGTGGACGGAAAACATTTTCATACCTGTAAAGGAGTCTGGCCTGTGCCCAATTGCTCTGATTCCACTTACAGATCATGGTGTCCACATATGAATACTCGCTTTCGCAGGTAATATTTGCGTTAAACCTTCCTGGAAAAGAGCAGATTTGAAATTGTCTAGCTTTTCAACAAGCAACATTTTATCCGCTGTCCTCAATAATTGATAAGTCACCTTCTGTGTATATTTTGGCATAGGCGATGGAGCACATAGATTTCTCTCCCAATGTGAGGCAGCACATCAGAGTGTCAAATCCTGCTTTGTCCATCTTTAGAGTGACTGTGCTGACCTGCTCATTGATGACTCTGTACTGGCTTTCTGGTATCTTCATCTTGCCGTTCAGAAACCACACGGCTTTACTGGCGCTCCAGCTGCGGTTGTGGAACACAGAGTAAACTGTCACCTCTGACTCCTGCGTTGTGAAGACTTCAGCAGGGATGTAACTGACTTTGAGGAGAAAAACAGAATAGAGGGCCATTTAAGCCAGGGGTGTCCACACTCTGTCCTGGAGGGCCAGTGTCCTGGAGAGCTAAGTTTCCACCTGAATCAAACACATCTGACCAAGCTAATCAAGCTCTTACTTTGTATACTAGTAACTTCCAGGAAGGTGTGTTGAGGCAAGTTGGAGCTAAAGTCAGCAGGACACTGGCCTGATTTAAGCAGACCATTTGCAAGAGAAACGTACAAATGAATAAATAAATACAAATATGTGAAATAAAACTATGCAAATAAAAACAACACAGAGATATATAGGACTAAAATGTCATCTTAAAACTCAAATAATTGAGAAGAACATTGCTAATTATATTTTACATAAACTTTTTTGACACATTCAGATTTGTCATTAACAGTGAAACATTTCATTACAATTAAACATATTTATCTTCAAACTGACAAAATTTTTTGGAAATTCCTATTATTTATAATTGTGATTCTCATAAGATTTTCATTATTTTAATACTGTTCGTTTACAGTGCTTTACTATAATTACTGCAGTTAAATGTTTGAAGCATAAATTACAGACACAACAAATACTAACAATATAAACATATTTTAAATATTACTTAATATTTCATTTATTCATTCATTCATTTTCTTCTCGGTTAAGTCCCTTTATTAATCCGGGGTAGCCACAGAGGAATGAACCGCCAACTTATCCAGCACGTTTTTACGCAGCGGATGCCCTTCCAGCCGCAACCCATCTCTGGGAAAAAAACATCCACACACATTCATTCACACACACACTCGTACACTATGGACACTTTTAGCCTACCCAATTGACCTGTACCGTATGTCTTTGGACAGTGGGGGTAACCAGAGCACCCGGAGAAAACCCACGCGAACGCAGGGAGAACATGCAAACTCAACTACATCATAACTATTATTGTTATCATTTTATATTTTTATATTTTATTTTATTTTTGTTCAGATTTTCTGTACCATTTCAATTTACCATTTCTGTTCCATTACTATTTCTTCCATTATGACATTATTTTCATGATAATTAAGCACATTTCTCCTAAAGTTATGAATATCATAACATATTAGGGCTGGACGATATGGTAAAACTGCAATCTCAATAATTATTTTCCATATTGAACAATAACGATATATATTTTGATGGGAGTTGGTAATGCTTTCAGATTTAAGAGTGTCCTAACAATGACTGAAACTACAAAAATTAGAGGGTCCATTAAATAACATAACATATTTTCGGCCAATTAACTTGTCGGTGGCCGAAAATTTGCTAATCTCTAATATCAACACATTTTTAGATTCCCATTGTCGTACATTTCTGCTGTGTGATTGATCTTTCTTAGATCAATATAGAGTTTGAAAGTGCAGAACTTATGATTGTATTGATATCAATTTTATCGTGATTCGATATATTATCGTTTATTGGCCCAGCCCTATAACATATTATTTATTAATGTATATTCTGTCTTTAGCATAAAGATGTTTGACTGATATGACATGGACATGTTTCTTCTAGATGTTATAGGATTCACTCTATTGTTTTTATTTCACCCAACCCCTTAATCATAGTCCCTTGCAGCAAGTAAAAAGCATTTCTTTTTTATATATATAATGGTAGAGTACAACCTGAAGCTTAGTTACCATGGTGACTTGTGCAGCACAGATTCTGAAAATATACAACCTACCTGGACATCAGAGACACAATTGCCTTTAAAAGCTTCAAGAAAACATTCAAAATAATGGGTGCTATGTGTTTAATGCAATGAAGCAGGAAATCTGACACTGAATGAATCTCGCATGGCTGTATCATTAGGTTAAATCAAGCTTAAACAGTTGAAACATTAACTTACATTCAGACAGTCAAAAGTGCAGCATTAGTCAGCAACACTGTTTCTCACTGGATACTACACTCAACTGACCTTATCCAAGTAATAATAGTCAATTTATTACACTTTATTATGGACATTTAAGGTTAGACAATGCAGGCAATACAGTTTTTTCAATTTACATTTTGTATTACACTTTTGCTATTTTTTAGCTTATTGGAATAGAAAAAAATAGGATAGGATCCAAATCCCTCCTATTTTGAGGCCCACCGCAAGGTGGCATAGGAATGCTGTGTCCCCGCCCACCAAATTGATTGACAGCCGCGTAGTAACATGTCTTTATAGTATAATCATATCAACAAGACAGGACGTGCGCAAAGCAATGTGATCAAGTTAAGAGTTTAAAACGTTTTTAAAACAGTACATGTTTGTAATTAATTACACCGATTTTACTGTCTTTATCACCACAACCGCATGTCAGTACAATAATAACCGCAGACGCTTCAATCCCATTTTTGTATATTAACATGTATCTTGTCACATTTGCCATGGAAAACCAGTGCAAAGTTAAACGCGCGATGTGTGTGTGTGTGTGTGTGTGTGTGTGTGTGTGTGTATATATATGTGTGAACTTTGTAACGACATTGTGTGTGACTCATCGTTGCAGAAAGGCTTGAATAACCTCCACAACAAATACATTAAACTATCATTGGAAAAGTTCTTTCTTTAGTATTTCTCACAAACGTTACGTGATGTTCACATTCATGTCTGTCACTGTGCTGTTTATCTGACGCAGCCGGAGATTGAGGCACACTGACAAGCACGTGGGCACAGTGGGCGTGGAGAATTAGCATTAAAGGCACAGGCAACAAAAACAGCTACAGTACATTGTGTTCAGAGCAGAAAATGCCAAACTTCAGATGGGTATAATGAATGATCTGATGGGTGTTTTGAGCTGAAACTTTACAGACACATTCTGGAGATACAAAAGACTTGAAAAAGGGGTAAAATAAGTGCCCTTTAACAATGGAGATTCATTTTAAAGAACACACCTGAATTGTCAGAGGGATGAAGTATGCTCTTACATAGTTTGCCTGATTGTATACATTTTACTCTACAAAATGTTACTTTAACTTTTTTTTTTTGACTGTATATAACAAAGTATTAAAATAATTAAAAGACACAATCGAAAAAAAACATGTATGTCCCAAAAGCGTCTAAAAAATGCAATGAGAAGTTTGAAACCGACTTTATTCAATCACTGGTTAAATTTTCTGCAAGAAATGTACTGTATGCAGACTAGTGCATAATTTGCTTCATTTGCATATTTAAACATAAAAACAAAACTTGTAATACATTGCAATTCTTATACTGTAATCAGTCTACTATGGAAGTATGGTGATAACCATTTCTTTTACCTTGTTTACCTGCAGTGTAATGCTTTAGGAAAGCAGTAAAGAGAGAATAATAAAAACATTCACTTGATTAGTTATTTTGGCTTAGTCCCTTTATTATTCAGGGGTCACCACAGTGGAATGAACTGACAGCATGTTATCCAGCATGTGTTTTACACAGCGGATGCCCTTCCAGCCACAACCCAGCACAGGAAAACACCCATACACTCTTGCATTGCAAAATTTAGCTTATTCAATTCACCTATAGCACATGTGTTTGGACTTGTGGAGGAAACCGGAGCACCCGGAGGAAACCCACGCAAACATGCCAACTCCACACAGAAATGCCAACTGACCCAGCTGGGGCTCAAACCAGTGATCTTCTTGCTGTAAGGCGACAGTACTAACCACTGTGTCATTTTCCTACGGCTTAGTGTCTTTATTCATCAGGGGTCGCCACAGTAGAATGAACCACCAACCTATCCAGCATATGTTTTACACAGCGGATACTCTTCCAGTTGCAACCCAGTACTGGGAAACATCCATACACACTCAATCACACACATACACTACGGCTGATTTGTAACTAACTTCAATTTTATGTTTAAATATGATACAGTAGCAATTGCTTCAGACATTTGGTCACTTTACAACCTCCAAATATACATACAGTACTGGGTGCTCAACTTGAACAAATGTTTTATTGGCCGGAGACCGAACATGGTGCCAAGCAAAAGACTCATAACATGCAAATAGGTGCTTTGTTAGAATTAAGTAAGCTTTTAACAACAACTGTTTACAAGAACGAAACTAAAATCATTATAGTAAACCCAATGATGACAAGGTAAAAGCACTCAAGGGCTGTACAAACTATGCCTTTAAATGGATCATGAAATGGAGAATAACAATGTTTTGGATATTTACGGTACACTCATGAAACTGTATCACTTCTACAACACAAAAAAATGCTCCATTAAATAACCTTACCAAACATCAGAGCTTTACAAATGCATGAATAAAATTCACTGTTAATGGCCTGTCAGAGAAAAGCAAAAGTGAACGTTCTCTGTGGTAATTATGTGTATAGAAACAATGATGACTATAGTAAATTAGACTTAAATGAGTTCAAACTAATGAGCTATTTCATCCATATTCAGAAACATTTTTGAACTGCTAATTGAATTAAATCACACACACACAAACACACACTCTTTCTGATAGAAGTAATGATACTTGATGTGTGTTTTTATATGGTAAATTAGCTTTAAATGAGTAATAACTAATCAACAATTCCATCCATATTCATAGACATTTTTATGCTGCTAACAGAATTAAACCTTCATACAAGCACACACAATACTTCTGTTATTGCTAGAGGTGATGCTCATTGCTACTGTGTTTTTCATAAAGAATGAAACTGAAGATGAGTTTTTAAAAATACTGGACTTTTTAGATGCTAAAAACTTTGCAAACTTAATCATCTAATCTTGAGAAATATGGGTAAAGTGCTACATGACCCTTTAAAAAAAATAAATGAGTCTAAAAAATAATTAAAAAAACATTGTGTTTTTTTTACCATTACATGTGCAAGACTTTTTGAACATATATCTAGTACCACATTATATTTGTTAAATATAAATAGATTTTAATGTTGCACAAACACTATAGACCATTTCACGGTGGTGATGTCGCTGGCTCTGAACATTTCCTAATGAAACTATTTTGGAACAAACTATACTGATCATCATGATTTTTATATTTTATTCAGAACAATACTATCTGAAACTATTTCAGAACAAGTGACAATGTAACAATATCCTAATGTTAAAATAGCTGCCATAACATTTTTTATCAGTATATGGAGCTTTTTGGATACTTGGAGGCAATCGTAGTTCAAAATGTAATACAAGAAATTCATTAAGGCCATTGTTATTGTTTACATCCCTCAAAATGGTCTCAAACTTTCCTTCTAGTAATACGCGGAGGAATATTGAATATTGAAAGGAAAATTTATAATAACACACTTTTAACCCTTTAACGCGAACGATTTCACTGATGTGATCTGCACTGGCTGTTCTCTGAAGCGTACAATCACATTGGTGTGTTTAGAATGTTTACTTTAGTTCACTTGTATACACGCTAGAGAAGCGCTTTTGCAAACCAGTGCGGTTGTGTTGGCATTTCAGTTACTGCAAACTCAAGAATCTCCCCATGCTGCATCAATGGTAAAATAATTATCACAAACGTGTTAAATGTGTGTTCGTAGTTGTGTAAAATAATGTGTGTTTTCGATATATAAAGTTATTTGTTTTGTGAAGCAAAGTGGCTCTCGGTTAATTTGTTTTTTCAAATTTATGCTAATTTATCTGGATGAATCAATAAATAATCCAAGTCAATCATTTCAAATGTCGCGGGACACAGAACATAGACTCAAGCAACTTTGCCTTGCTTGAAACTTGGGCCCGGTTTCTCAAAAGTAATCCACTGGGATTTTGGATAAGGGATTGGATCAAATCTTGAAAATGGGTTTTTCAAAAGAAAAAACGGATTACATAATCGGATTAGATCCCGTAATCCAATCTTGGTTTTGATCTGGATCAAATCTTTAGTTTGGGTTTTCCAGACCTTTTTTGTAGGATTTGGATCACTTTGATCCAAAAAACCTGGATTAAACTGATCCCATCAGAAGGGTGGATTGAGTCTGGATTTCAAGCCCAAAATGTAATGAAAACTTACAAAATGTATCAAATAATACTATATTTGGAACATGTATTATCCTACAAGATATCCTATTTATTCATAAGGTTTTAATTGTATTTGTTCATCCGTCAGGCTACAATGATTAAGCAGGCTTTATCGTATTCAGCCTTTCAGTATAGGCCTACATCAAAGTAAAAAGAGTTTGGCCTCATAAAATAATCCCCCAAATAGCTGTCAAAAATGACCAAAAACAATAAATTTTATTCTGTCACTAATTGATATATATATTCATCACAATGGAAAAAATTTTTTCCTTTTTTTTTATATTTATTAGTGATGCCTGAAATGATTACAGAATAAACACAAAAAATGCAAAGAATGACAATGACTGATTTTTAAAAATCACCTTCAACAATTGCAAAAAGAGACCCAAAGGGCAGAAGCACAGCTCATCTGGCAGAGGAACAACAAGGCCAGACTTGAGATACGCCTCCTAAAGGCTATGCTCAGACAAGCTGGTCTCTCCTCATCAGATGAGGAAGTCTGAAAGTCTGAGTTTTTGACATTGTCTTTTTTTTATTCAATACATCTATATTTGAAACTTGTTATAAATATCCACAATGTACAGTGTTTGTGTTGTAGGTCTCAGATGAGCGGACTGCTGGAAGAGGATGGGGTGGGGTTTTCTTGTTTTTAGCTTTTTTAAATGTGTGTGTTTTCATTTCAAATAAAAATAAAGTTATATTGACCCCACACTGGCTGTTCCACTTGCTGCTCTTTACATATGTATAGTTCTACATTGGGATTTCCTATCCCGTTTGAGCACTGGTAATCCAGATTTAGTGATCCTGAAAAGTTCCTATCCGGATCAGATTGATCCAATCCAATGTTGCTTCAAAAAACTGGCTCAGATTGTAAGCTAGATTACGTGATCACGGATCGCAAAAACGAGATTACTAAATCTGGATCAATTTTTTAAACCTTTTGAAAAACCGGGCCCTGGAGCTAGAATATAGTCTAATTAAAGTTAGTTTCTGTGTGCGATTAACACAAACTCAACAGTCCATTTAAGATAAGATCTCAAATCAAGCCAATTCTGCACGTATGAATGGATAAATCACATATGAATTGGCCAAGCTGTGTATTATAGATTTCAAAGTTATACAAATAAGTCATGTGTACATGCAATATATTTCAAAATGTTTCAAAAATGGTTTATATATGAATCTGATGATATATAGCCTATATTTTTGAGGTCCATGCAACATTTCCAGATTTTGACAAATAGGTGACTATTATTTACTATTATTACTATTATTGTTACTAGTATGACGAAATACTTTACATTTAAGTACAGCAATTTTCTTTTTATTTTAATAACAGTAGCCTACCATTTTCAATTAACTTTTAAAAGCATATTTTAAACATTGACTTTTTTACCTATAACCACAGTACAGACTTTTTAAATTATTTAAAATGATTAAAGTAGTTGACAATAATAAAGATTTTAATAATAGGAATTAATCTGCCTCATCATTATGGTGGTACTTGGAGTTTTTTTTCTGAGGTGGTACTTGATAAAAAAAAGTTTGAGAACCACTGGTCTATTGCACGATGCGTATCTCATTTAAGAGAATAAGTATGCAAATATGCTATACCGTGCAATGTTTGACCTCGTCTTGCAAGCAAATGGCATATTAATGCTTTCGTAAAACACTGAAAGCATCGTAGCATCGTAATTAAATAATTCAAAAAATTGGATGCAAATCAAAGAGACTCTGTAAGTGCATAGCAACCAGCAAAAGCTACACAGTGTCAGAGTAGCAAATGAGAGTAGATATGAATGTAATTATCAAACATCAAACTTCTAAACTGAAGGCTTAGAGAAGACAATGGATCTCTCTGAAAAATAAATATAACTGGGACACCAAAAGCACTCATTTGCATGAAGCCTGCTGTACACTAAAAGCAGCTTTTAGACTGAATGACGTTTATGAAAATGCGTCGACCTGTGCACTCTATTACTGAGAACAAGAGGCTGTAAATCAGATGTACAAGAGTATATTAGGCAGCAACATTTTAAGTACCCTTTCACAAATGTCAGCATTTACATATATTTACTCATTCCCTATACCTGAAGAGCGGGATGAACAGTAATGAATGATTTAAACTAATTCATTCAAATCTGTACACAAACGACGTTAAGTATAACGAAAGATTATTCTGTAAACTTCATATCCTTACCATCTAGTTTGAAATAGAAAGGTTGGCTCCATTCACTCCAGTAGCCGAGATGGTTTTGGCAGCGCACTTGAACCGTGTATCTGATGTCAGAACTGAGCTCATTCAGAGCAACCCATGAACGACCTTTGACCTTCAATACCTAAAAGAGACACAGAGTCATTCACACAGTGTACTATGAATTACTTTGCCATAATAAGTGATTTTAGTCAAAGAAAATTATTAAAGGTGCAGTAGGTGATCTGCCAATATATTATTCGTTACCATAACTTCATTTAAATCACAGTCCCTTGCCTGCAATCCAAAGCCACGCCTCCTGAAATCATGAATGCGCACCTTAAAGGTGACAGTACACAACCCACTAGATCATATTAGAGAACTTTATAGTACTTTATAATAATACAATTCCGAATGAAAAACTGTGTTATATCTAGCACGTTTTCAGTTGTGTAGCAAGCAAAACTGATGTGCAGTATTTCATGCACGCAAGGATCACTGGTCTCCCTTTTGTGCTTTGTCCTAAATTGACAACTGTATGCTTAGTGCTTGGCCAGAAGGTGCAGGAATTACACTGATTACTAAGTCATACTTGCATGCTATTTCAGACCGAATATTCCAAGCAGCATCGTAAACAATATAGGGAGCGCATCACAGGTTGCTCACAGATTGTTCAAAAATGAACCAATGTGATGTGAATATAAAACCAACTTCACCTCAGTAAAGCAGGCTAGGCGCAATAGCGCTATTTACTTATGTTTTGTTGTTAAACTAAATTAAATTTTCATTGTCAATGTTGTAAAAGGTACCCTGTAAAACTGAAAATATTCACATCAATATTTCGCTGGAACAACACTTCTGTGCATATAACCCATTCGTAAAACAACAAAATCTACATAAGCTTTGCGTCACTAAAACATCTTTAAAACATAACATTACCTGTCTGAGGCCCCATTTACACTAATATGTTTTAGTTTTAAAATGCATACGTTTTGCTACGGATTTGCACCGAAAATGAAGCATTTTGGAAATGCAGAAGATGATGTTTTCATTCTAAAATGCTGCTGCTCCGTCTCAGTGTGGATGGGGGAAATGAAGACATCTGAAAACGGAGGCAGGACTGCAGACATTCGCCTCTCTGATTGGGGCTTTTTCTCAATATTAAGTAGCCTATAAGCAGTTCAGTCTTGCATCCGCTCCTTGTAAGTTCAGACTTCACAAGTTTGATGTGAAAAATAAACTCACAAATACACGTCGGTTAAATCCTCAGGGAACAGTGTACTTTATAACCTTATTCACATCGCCCTGGCTACATTGTTTGACTTTCTCAACAATAAAATGAAAACATGATTTAAGGAACTGCTTTTTTATTTGATATTAGCAACTTAACAGACAGCAGAAATGTTGAGGTGTCGTGCAGCATATTTATATGAGCGTCATCTTCACTGTATGCATACTCATAACAAAACGGAACCTATGCCTCCTTTCATTTTCATTGAAAAGACGAAACACACCCTCTCTTTTGCTAAATATCAGTTTTAAGAATCAATAATGGCCATTATAAAAGTATAACGTACAATAAGTTTATACATTAAAGGAAATAAAGGAAAGCAATCAGTCAACATGCAGAATGTACTTGGTTACATTATTTATTAACTTATCTTTGCGCTCAGCCAAAACACATTACCTGAAAGAACAAGTAATAGATTCAAAAGACCAAAGTCGGGTAATATGTCGTTACATATACACAGCAAGATGAATAAAATATCACGATTAACAAATATAGTGAGATTGGATCCAGCGGTAGATCCTTGACGAACAGTCCGAAGAGCACAGCTCTCGTCTGGGTAGATATGCTGCAGCGCTTGCCAAAGTGTGTGGTTGTGGTCACGTGATGTGGGTTTTCAGTGGTGTGGTGTAGAAGGAGAGTTGTTCAAAAAAGCTGGGTGAAACGTTTTTATTCTAAATTGCTACAAAGTAAAATAAATGAAAAACTTATGTGATTTTGTACAAGTGAAGCATAAGCACACATTGCTTTGCATCTTATAAACACAACCAAGCCTTAAAATTACACTCTGGACCACCTCGTTAACATACCGACTGAATCTGAATAGTAAACCCTTTGGTAATCTTTTACCAAAGGCTGTAATTTTGCAACTACAATAGTGGGTAAAAGTGACATTTGGACTGGTTTGTCCTTCATTCAGATATACTCAGCTGAAAGTTATGTTAATGTAAACTTTCTAAGCATATTTGTGTTCAGCGAATGTAAATGTTTTGTATGAACTCTGCATTTCAATGCTTTCATTTGTTCAATGCAAAAATTACTTGTACAGTTTCACATTTTTGTATGCTTGTTTCCATTGACAATTAAACACATATTATGTGATAAGCTGAAGTATGTTATTGTTCTAACTGGCAAACATTTTCCTTCACTACAGCAGAATGAACCTCCAACTATTCAAGCATATGTTTTACGCAGCAGAGGCGCAACCGAGTGCTGGGAAACACCCATACACTACGGCCAATTTAGTTCATCCAATCCGCCTACATCGCATGTCTTTGGACTGTGGGGGAAACCGAACCACACAGAGGGAACCCATATGAACACGGGGAGAACATGCAAATGCCAACTAGCCCAGCTGGGACACAAACCAGTGATCTTCTTGCTGTGAGGCGACAGTCCTAACCACTGAGTCACCATGTAATTGGCAAACATTTTTATTAACAATTACTCGTTAAATGATCAATTTTAATACTTATTCTGTCAACTTACTTAACTTATTCCACATGACACGACAACCTCAAAACATGCAATTCTGAGTTTGAATCACTCGAGTGAGTGGGCTTTACAAACCACCTTTACAAAACACACTCTTTCATCTCTCTGACACTATAACTGACACTCGGTTTCACACATTTGCACCAGACACTTTCTTACAATCAACCCATATCTTTAAAAATGAACTCTTTAATAAAAATTTAAGAAGTGTGCTTCACACAGGTGAGTGGGCCTGACAAACCACCTATAGAAAACACACTCTTTCATCTATATGACAGTTTAACTTTAACTGACACTCAGTTTTGCTCATTTTCACCCGACACTTACTTACAATCACCCAGTTTCTCTAAAAATTTAAGTTTTAAATTAAAAATTAAAAAGTGTGCTTCACACAGGTAGGTGGGCTTGACAAACCACCTATAAAAACACACTTTTCTCTCTAAAAATAATAACACTCCCCCCTCCTATTTAATGCTCTGAGCTAAAGTAGTTCCTTTGTATAATTAGCACCTCTTGTGTGTATTGCCTCTTCTTATTGAATCACTGAATGTCTCCTTCAAAAAAGCATCTGCTAAATGACTGAATGTAAATGTAACTCAACCAAATATACTTGTAATACTCTAATGACATGTATTTGCAAAATGACTTGTGGTCATCAGAATCTCTGAGGAAGACAATAAAAAATCTAAAGTTTACTTGAAGCATGTGCAAATCAATGAGACTGGTAAAAAAAAAAGTGTTCAAAAGAAAAAGTTTACAAAAACTTACAGTTCAACATGTTAGACATTTAGACATTTATATATATATATATATATATATATATATATATATATATATATATATATATATATATATATATATAATAAGAGTGTCACGATCCTCCAAATCCTCGATTCGATTGCATTTTCAATTATTAAGGCACGATTCAATTCGATTTTCGATTATGAATAATTAATTAATGACCAATTAATTATTTGTAGCCTACCGTTTAAACTACCTGACCTGCATGGTCTTTGTTTTACCCATAAACAAATCATACAGTAAATGAATAAAGGCAAGATACACACATAATTACCACCTGTCAATCACTTTTTCTCCGGGACTCGTGAATAGGCAGTGATCTGTGGCGTTATAATGGCGTCGGTAAAAAAGACGCACAACCAACAGGAACCAGCCAACAGTATCTGAGGTGTTCGCTAAAATGACAAAGTACAAGTGAGTGAAAGATTGAAGCAGTCCTCTGACTGCCTGGACCTGCTGTCTCGAGCGCATGGCTGTATGTGCGTCTGTGTCTGTGTGGTCACGTGATGTGCATTTTCAGAGGTAGAGTTGAAGGAGGGCTGCTCAGAAATGCTACACGCCACTGTGGATGTCAAATCGTTGTCGTTCTAAAATGCCATTTAAAAACAAAGACAGTGTAAACAGGGCCTGAGTGTGTACTTTTCGCAAGCGGATTTGCAATGGGGGCGGGCGGAGGATTGTGATGCCGGTGTTGTCTATCGGACGAACCGTACGTAATACATACATAGCAGAGCTTGCAAAACTGTGTTTTTTTTGTCGACAACACGAACGTTGTCAACATAACTTACTGGAAATCCAAAATGCTTAAACACTGGCGACTTCATTGAAAGAGGAGAGGGTTTAAGTTCTCTCGACGGGTCTCCTGCTTCTGCAGTTTAACAAGCACTTCAACAAACCTGTTTTTTTCCCGCTTGGCAAGCCAAGCTGACGTGACATGGGGGCGTGGCAGCATCGACGATTCTATTTTTTAATTCGATAATCGAAATTGAGCATAAATTTCGATCGATAGCGATTAAAAATCTAAATTGTGACACCCCTAATATATATATATATATATATATATATAAATATATATATATATATATATATATATATAGTCACTCAAAATATATGTAAAACAGAAGAACAGTCCAAATGCAATTGTCATATTGCGTGTTTGTGTTGTGCATATGGCAGAGATTCTAATTCTTTAGAAAACCTGCAAAAATGTCAGTGAAGTTCTGTGTCTTCAAACACAATTCTTACAAACATCACAACACATTCATTACACCAACAAAAGAGACCAATTACCTTCCACTGCTGAAGCAAGGAATTGGATGAGTATTGGATCTCATAGTTTATAGTGTTGTTGTCAGGTTGTGTGCCGGTCCACCTGAATATAACTTCCCCTTCTGTCGTCACATTGTAATGCAGATTGACAGGTGCGCCAGGTCTTTCTGTGAAAGGATGGAAATATACTAATTATTAAATTGTAATTATTTGCTAACTGGTAATTAGACAAAGACATTCTTTTATATAAATGTATATTATTTTATTTGTACACTACAACAAGGCAGTTCTACTGCAAATCTACATATTTCCAATATAAAACACTTTTATGATGAAATGAATACTTTAAAAAGGCCATGAAGAGAACCTATTCTTTGCCATAAAAGTGAATTTACTGAACACAAAAGCCTTCTACCTTTAGAAGACGATTACACATGATACTTAGAGGTTTTTGCTTCTGAACTCTTCATAAAAAAACCTCCTCTGTATTTATAATTATATTATATTTTTATATAGACCTGCTTAAGTACATAATTTGATGACTTTATTTAAGATCACAATGCAACCCCAAAATACTAATAAATTATCATGGCCACACTTTACAATAAGGTTCATTAGTTAATGTTACTTAATGCATTTACTAACATGAACAAACAATGAACAATACATTTACTACAGTATTTGTTCATGTTAGTAAACTTTGGTTAATGAAAATACAGTTGTTCATTGTGAGTTCGTTAATTTAAGGTGCATTAACTAATGTTAACAAGCATGAGTTTGGATGTTAATAATGCATTAGTAAATGTTCAATTATGATTAATAAATGCTGTACAAGTGTTGTTCATGATTAGTTCATGTAAGTAAATTCATTAAATAATGAACCTTATTGTAAAGTGTTATCAATATCATTTTATATTTTTATGCTTTACCTATGTCCTTTAGGCAACTAGGATTAATCGTTTTTGTCAAAAAGTATAACACTTCCAAATTTGTGGTGTTATTTCAACACATAGAGGTTTAAAAACAATTAAAGACTGTCTTGTTATTTTGTTCTGTCAGACATTAGTCTATCTAGAACATAACCTAAACACCTAAACCCCTTGCTTTAATAGATTATATTATTTATTATTATATAAAAGCACAGAAATATGTTTTATTTCACTTTTAGCAATACATTTAATATGATTCAACTACTAGGCAGTCTTTTAAATGCACATTTTCAGTTTAAACCTCTACCTAAGAGACAGTGTATTTTAAAATAAATTGCTCCTGCTGTTGCAGTTAATATAAATGGGTCTATATTGATTGGAGATTTTATTCATTTAATGAATTACTCTAATCTTTTCCAGCTTTTCAATGTATCTCAAAGATAAGAAAAAGGACACCCTGTTCTTTAAAATGAAATCTAATAGAATAATTCAGCCACGTTTCAAACCACTTTACTTTCTTTGTCCCATGAGGAGTTATTTTGTGAAAAGAAAGTAAACAGTAGCCATACTAGTCAAACAAAAATTATTACAATTTATTTTTTTCCTTAGAGTAAATTTTTGTAAGATCTCAGAAGAATAATAACATAGTAAAAGAGTGTTATGGATTTGATTTATGATATATATATATATATATATATATATATATATTTTACTGTATAGTGCTATAGTTTACTGTAAATCAACAAAAGTCACAGAGGTTTGGAACAACAGCTTCTTTGTATAGCTGTGTATTCCTTTAGAATTTGATTTAAAAAAGGCTAAAGTGCTTTTGGGTTGGACATCTTGTAAGTCATTAAACCGTGTCATTTTAATCCACTGCCTGGAAAATCACTTGAGAGAGAGAGACGTGTATTCTTCAGCTCTTAGTGCCAAAGAACAAACACACCCCAATAAAACACCTGTTTGCTCTGGCATCGGTCTCCATGAACTCAGGCTTTTAGCATGTGGTTCATAGAAACAATTAGGCTACAATTATCTATTTACAGGTGACCGTGAAGAATAGTTTTGTAAATGACTGCTTTAACTTAAGAGTCAGTAATTTATGCGAATGTATCGCCATGAGATTTTACACCTTTTTTAGTAAATAAGAACAAATTATTACAGCCATCCTAAACAAATAAATGTGCTATTCTTAAGTTATCAACATAAAGTACTTTAAACCAATAACATATTTATTAAATAATCTTGATAAAAATTGCTTTATTGAAAAGTTAATTTAAAAAAATAGTAAATAAGTTTTTTTTGTAAGACTGTATGACCTGTATATAAAAAATATGAAATACCAGAATCAGCCGTTTGTTCTGCCAAAAGTAAACTCAGCAGTAAACTCTGTAGTTCTAGCAACTTTACGGATTCCAAAATAAACATGTGCGGGAATAGAGGAAATGAAATATCTGGTTTCATGTTGATAACAGAATGGAACTTCCTTTTCCTGTTAGTTTTCATCTGAATACAATGATAGATAGATAGATAGATAGATAGATAGATAGATAGATAGATAGATAGATAGATAGATAGATAGATAGATAGATAGATAGATAGATAGATAGATAGATAGATAGATAGATAGATAGATAGATAGATAGATAGATAGATAGATAGATAGATAGATAGATAGATAGATAGATAGATAGATAGATAGATAGATAGATAGATAGATAGATAGATAGGTGGATGGATGGATGGATGGATGGATGGATGGATGGATGGATGGATGGAGGGAGGGAGGGAGGGAGGGAGGGAGGGTGGGATGGATGGATGGATGGACAGACGGATGGATGGATTGATGGATGGATCAGTTCTCACGTAGTTCATATGTGCTGACTTGCATCTTCTGTGATTGTGCAGTGGTCCCATTCTCAGATATAATTATAACTAATGAGACTGTTGCATCCCCGCCGTGAAGAGAAACGGAGCAGATGGCAGTCTCTTCTCCAACACACTGAGCAGTGGAATTTGCTTCATCTGAATGTACATCCATCTGTACACTAAAATAAGAAAAAAAATCAATAGTTAATAAGACTTAATTAACACTGATAACATTACACTGAGAGTCCTATAGAACAGAAGTAGCAGACAGTTCATCACATGAAATTTGAAATCAGCACCAATCTATTTATCTCACACTGATAAAAAATAGAAATCTGATTCTTTATTGATGAGCTTGATTGTTTTTAAAAATTAAAAGTTTTTTAAGCGGAGATCACAATTCTATCAAGCTTCTGAAAGTTACATTTGCTTTTAATTATTTAGCAAAAAAAATTTTTTAAACCCTTTAAAGTATAAAAAATTAATAAACATAATAAACCACTTTAATAAATAATCAGATCAGATGAATAGATAAAAAGCATAAAAAGTGCCTGTATTAATGAGTGACATATTGAATATTAATTTAACATTAACTAAAACTTATTTCTTTTTATTGGAGATTCACACAAAATGTTAATTACTGCAGTATGCTTATTAATATGCAATTCATATATTTTTTTTTATTAATAATGAATAATATAGTCCCTCATTCACCTAAAAATACTTTTATCATACCTGCATGAATCAGCATTTTAAACCAATCGCTTGAACAAATATTTCAATGACCAACACAAGTTACTTGTAGCTACCCACTGGAGAAATGGCAGAACTGATATATCCTTTATCTGAAGCCTCAACTAAATTATTTTCTATATTGTTTGTACTTTTCATTTGACTATGACCATTTTGATAATATATATATATATATACACACACACACACACACACACACACACACACACACACACACACACACACGCACACACACACACATACATACATACACATACATACATGCATGCATGCATGCATACATACATACATACATACATACATACATACATACATACATACATACATACATACAACAATTTTTTTACTTGTTTAAGTTCGATTTGTGTTGTGACAACATGAATGAATTGTGTGGAACCCTGCATTTTTTACAGTGTAAATAGTTGAAGTCAAATTATTAGCCCTCCTGAATTAATAGTCCCCCTGTATATTTTTTTTCTCCAATTTCTGTTTAACAGAAAGAAGATTCAAACACATTTCTAAACATAATGGTTTTAATAACTTATTTCTATAACTATAAGTCTGTATTGTATGAGTGTGTGTGTGTGTGTGTGTGAATGAGTGTGTGTAAATGTATCCCAGAGATGGGTTGTGGCTGGAAGGGCATCCACTGCATAAAAACTTGCTGGATAAGTTGGCGGTTCATTCCGCTGTGGCAATCCCGGATTAATAAAGGGACTAAGCCGACAAGAAAAAAAAAATATATATATATAGAGAGAGAGAGAGAGAGAGAGAGAGAGAGATTTTGTGCGATTAAAAAGATACAAACTGAAGCTGTTTCATACCTATACATTATAATTGTATCTTTGAATCTATAAGTCAGCAAGAGCACGAATACAGATTTAAATATTTGCCATGATACTGATACTGTAATTAGCTAAACTGTAGTTATTTTGGAATTTGATCATGCAGATATTTAATTCAGTCGTTTTGACAATTAATGGTTCAGCCATTGTGGAAAACGTTAAACAAAATATTAAGTAATAAAAAAGTTGAAAGAATTACAGACAGAACAGAGTCTAATAGTGTAGCATAGAGTAGAATAGTATAAAGAAGCAACACTGCACTGGCTGCCATTTATCCAATCATTAGTCAGTGGACAGCTGACTGAAAACAGAAGACTCACACTAATTGATGAGGGCTGACGCTGACCAGAGTGGAAGCTGCTGCTGCTCTACGGGTCTTTGCATTACAAATCAAATTTTCCCGTTCACCTTCAAGCCAGCACAGGATGTCCAAACAGCTTCCTGAAAAGAGATTGCATTCTCTTGTTAGTTACTTTCATGAATCATCCCAGCCCGTTGCAATTAGAAGCCTCAATAATTCCTGTTAGAATTCAGGACACAGCCTCATTACATGATGTGAAAATAACATGAGGATACAAGCGCGATACTTTGAATCGGAATGAAACATCAAATATTAAGTCTAATTGAGATTCTGGCCAGATCTTTTTTTTTTTTTTTTTGATGTTGTTGTTGAAGTTTTAAGCTAAGACCCTTGCAGGAATCCAAGAACAAAATATCTGGGGAATGTTTTATGAATGCTTTATAGTGTTACAAAAAAAAAAATCTACCTCTAAGTATTTGTATCAATTCTTTTTCTGTTTTTGAAGAGCCACTTCACACGTTGGATTGCAAACAAACTTGTTTTGCATTTAAATGCTATATATTTAGTTGAGGGCTTTAATCACTGCCCCGAGGCCCACCACCACAGTGAAGAGAAAGTAATGAGAATTGATTAGCATGTGTAATGGCACCCATCTACTTGTCTGGAGAGGTCAGTCCTTTTTCAGCCACTCTGATTTCTCTGGTGATCACTTAAAATGCAAAAGATTAACGCAAAAATGCCTTCCATTTATTTTGTGCAACACTGTCCAAAAGTGTGGTGCACATATTAGATTAAAATGCAGTCAAAACAGTAACATTGTGAAACATTATATTATGATACTGTGAAACATTAGTTTAGAGAAGTTATTTAAATAAAATGTTTTGCAATTTCATAATACAATACTGTAATTATTCATAATATCAATGTTTTGAATGTTTTTTAATCCGATAGTTTTTTATACACGTCATAGCAAAGCTAAATTGTCTGCATTAATAGTCTAATCTTCAGTGTTACATAAAAAAAATCATTCAGTGTTGATTTGATGCATAAGAAACATTTATTTTCAATGATGCTGAAAAGAGGGGTTCTACCTAATATAATCATAAAAACCAAGAATATTTTACTGAAATATATGATAAATATATCATTTTCATTATAATGTAAAAGTCTTAATCACTTCTAGGAAATTTTATATAATTTATAATAATACTGTATGTAAAACAAACAGCTGATAACCATCAAAATCCGCTCATTATGAAATGCTTTTGTTTCTAGTCTACACAAGAAAACATTTCAATGAATTTCAATGTATTGAGCAATTCTCTGACGTCAAGTGACGCAAAATCTGAAACAAGCAAACGTATATTGTAGGAGCTAACAGAAAGCCAATAAAGACATTACCGTGTGGAACAAAAATCAATCCCATATTAAAGCCCTACTTCAATAAAAGCGCACTTAATTAGAAGGCAAATAATGTTACTACAAATTTACGATCATGTACAAAACAAACAGAACCGTTATGCGATCACTTAACATTAATTAATAAATGAGCAAAGAATGTAATATCAGACTTAACCAGAAAGGGTGTGTGATTTACCAAAAGACTGTTGTTTTGTAGCATTTAGCAGTTGGCAGTGTTGTTCGGGTGGGTGTTCTGAAAGACCACTGTTAAGCGTCTGAACAGGATGATCACAACACAGGAGAGCTTTCCACTTCAGGTCTTCGTAAACACCATCGCTGACTCCATCAGAAGGATTCAAATCTGCAAGGCCTGAAAAAAACAGGATCTCAGAGAAAACAATCAAAATAAGCAGAAAAACTGCCTGTTATCATAAAAAAAACATTAATTGATGGATTCAGTTCTCAGAAATGCTCAGAACATTTATCTAAAAGCTTCTCAAGGTCAACACAACTTATGTAGGTTTGTAACATAGTCAAGCTACTGTATAGTGCATTTCTAAATAAATATATTTTAGTTTAGGTGTTAAATACCGCATGAAATTGCAAAAGACATGCACTATAGGTAAATTGTGTACGCTAAATTGTCCGTAGTGTATGTGTGTGAATGAGTGTGTAAGGATGTTTTCCAGTGATGAGCTGCAGCTGGAAGGACATCTGCTGCGTGAAACATATGCTGAATAAGCTGACTGTTCATTCCGTTGTGGCTACCCCAGATGGATAAAGGGACTAAGCCGAAAAGAAAATGAATGAATGAAATTGCAAAAATGATGACAAAAATAATGAGGTCATTGATAAAGCTTTACAGAACAATGCTCACATTTGCCATTGGTGGATAAGACAGAAAGCACTGCCGCCAAAGTAATGACATTAGTTGAGTTGCTTTTATTTTGTGGAGCTGGTCAGGGTAATCAAATAAAAAATACTGCCAGTTTTTACAATTTATTTTAAAATCAACCAAGAAATCGCTTACTCACAGTCTTTCATAATAATCAGTGAATAATGAAGAGTGGTGAGCTGTGAGCTCTGAATGTGCACTCAGATTTGAAGCTGAAGCGAAAAAAATGGAAGTTGTTGTTGTTGTTGATTTATTTATTTATTATTTTTTTGCATAAAAAAAGTATTCTCGTAGCTTCATAAAACTATAATAGAAACACTGATGCACATGAATTGACCAGAGAGCTCTTGGATTTGATAAAAAATATCTCAATTCCAGTTCAGTATAAAAAGAAGGTCTTACAGGGTTGGATGGAATGCACCAATATTACATTTCGGGTAAACTTGGATAAGAAGATAATTATTTTTTATTAAATGGCAGATAATATTATTATTTTTTCTGAATAAAATTAAAATACATAAATTAAAAACTGTTTAAAAATGAATTCAAGAACTGTCATCAAATTATTTAAAATTATGTTTTAGTTTACCACAAAATATAAAATCCTGTCATCACTGACTCACTCTCAACTCATTCCAAAGAAATCAAGATTTTAATTCTTTACTTATCTTTAGCCATTTTTAGAACATTAGTAAAGTTTTTTTCTGTCCCACAGTAGATTCCCTCAACAATGTTCTTAAAAATCCAGTGTTAATAAAAGTCTTTTTAAGAGGTTGCTTTTCATGATGAACAGATTTATTTATTGAACAGAACTTTTGTTGACAAAAATATTGATCAGTAAACAATGAACAGAAGCTCAACCAAACTTGCCTAATGAACAAGAACAAACCTCATTGGCTCTTTCAGATCCTCAAACATCCCATGAGACACCTAAAAATGAACTTAATTGTTTTTTGTGCATCAAGCAAGCATGCCTGAGTTACCATGACTAAATAGGAATGTTGTAAATAGGGATGAACAGAATTTTCGCCTGCTGGAAATTATCAGCCAAAAAATGAAAAGGAAAACATGTCCGAAAATATGAGCTTAAAAAAGGCTATGCTGCACCACACTGACTTTCAAACTGGAAGCAAAAAGTTCTGAGCTATGAAACCCATTTATTTCAATGGCTTGGAACAGATAAAAGCGGTTTGTTGCTGCTCCAAACAAACCATGTGAGTACTAGGGCTAGTTTGTACACTCCACGGTCAAAAGTCAAAATGAATTCAATATTCCATTCTGTGAATATACCGCTTCTATACACATATACTTAAACAATAAAATTTATCAAATGTGGTTATTTCATTAGGTTGTTTTTAAAAACTGTATAATTTAAGTTATTGAGAAAAGGTTTAAAAGTCTGACGACAAAACTATTTACTGTTTATTGATCAATATTCATATGTGAATAAATAAAATCTGTTTATTAAGTTTAAGGTGAAAAAACTACAAACGGTCAAACAGAAATTCGTAACATTTTATAATATTTAAAAAAATATCTTAATTTGTACTTCAAATATGGTTTTGTGGGTTTGAAATGATAACGGTATGTCATGACATGATAAATTGTCATATATAAGACTTTCAGTGTGAACTAGCCCTTTAAGTAAGTGTTAGCTGATCATAAAATAATCTAAAAGCTAATAAATACAATAAGTTTTCACAATTAAATGCGTAATATGGATTACTAAAGATACAGTTGAAGTCAGAATTATTAGCCCCCCTTTGAATTTTTTTCTTTTCATCATTTCCCAAATGAGGTTTAACAGAGCAAGGAAATTTTCACAGTATGTCTGATAATATTTAATCAGAAAAAAGTCTTATTTGTTTTATTTTGGCTAGAATAAAAGCAGTTTTAAATTTATTTATTAATTTTAACCATTTTAGGGTCAAACTTATTAGCCCTTTTAGGCAAATGGTTTTCCAACTGTCTACAGAACCAACCATCGTTATACAATAGCTTGCCTAAATACCCCAACCTGCCTAGTTACCTAACTAACCTAGTTAAACCTTTAAATGGCACTTAAAACTGTATAGAAGTGTCTTGAAAAACATCTAGTCAAATATTATTTACTGTAATTATGGCAAAGATAAAATAAATCAGTTATTTGTGATGAGTTATTAAAACTATTATGTTCAGAAATGTGTTGAAAAAATCTCCATTAAAAGGAAATAGGGGAAAAAATAAACGGGGGTCTAATAATTCAGGGGGGCTAATAATTCTGACTTTAACTGTACATTTGAAATATTATTGAATAGTCAAGAACTGATGCATTGTGCATCCCTATCCACAGACAGGTTATTCATATAGCACACTTCATACACAATGGTAATTCAAAGTGCTTTACATAAACAAGAATAAAAGAAAATAAAAAAATAAAAGAATTAAAAATGATTAAAACAGATTCAAATGTAAATATGTTATAAAATAATAAAAAAGTATATAGTGCGATCTGTCGGACACAGCACAGTGCTCATTCAGTGAAGGGATAGCTAAACAGATGTGTTTAAGTATTGAATGTGCCTAATGTTGGAGCACATCTGATCATTTCTGAAAACTGATTTCAGCAGCGGGGGGCGTTGTAGCGGATTCACAATGCTTTGACTGAACTCTTGGAATGATCTACAGTAAGTGATCTGTTAGGTTTGTATTCAGTGAGCATTCAATGTTTTGAGGTCAGAAACTACAATATTATCTGAAGCACACATCACCCTGGGTTGCCAGTTTCAGTACTGTTACCCCGCAGGCCCGTGGCTCTTTCTCATCTGTACATCTGTCTATATGTGAAGCCCCTGAGCGACCGTTAAAAGTTTATAGTCTGATTCATGATGTGGGTGTAATCACCTCCCTCTTCCACCCATTACTTTCAATCTCCCTCTCTCTCACTATCTCTCCGTCTTTGCCTATCTCTCTGTTCATTCATCAGCCTCCTGCCCTCTGTGCGCTCAACCATAACCCACACTAATGCGTCTCTGAGGTGGGCAGAGGGACTGCTGACAGCTGGTAGGTGTCCAGCGTGCTTTGTGGGTCTTTGACTCGACAGCAAGTGGGAAATGAAAAACAATGAAAAGACACAAGAAGGCCGGTCAATATGCCAACAAATGCTAAACACAGATAAATACAGATAAAAAGAGGATGCGTAATCTTTGCACAGTAAATGTAAATGACTCACCTTGTGAAACGGCAATAAAAATCACAAGCAGTGCAAGCATGATGAAGACAGACCTAGGAGGACAAGAGAGGACATCTGAAAAAAACATTCAGGATGGATATGACTCACTATATTGTTCCATGCTGGAATGGTCCGATCTTTAAGCTTAAACAGTGTTCAGTTAAGTCATTAAATGACACAGTCCTATTTTAGTGAAGCATGAACTAAAAGCCATTATGTTTTGGAATCTGATTTCAATAGTTTTTGTTTATATTTCCCATTGCATCAGTGTCACTATGGCATTACATCAGTGTGTTTTTCCATATACAGTATGTATTTGTCAGGAAGAAGAAAGACTAATTTGTCTGTCATAGATATTTACATTAGATATCACCTACGCTATTAGTGTCTATTGAAAGGAATGCCTCAATAGAGCCAGCATTTTAGTACAGGTTGCGCTCCTTTGAAATGAATATGGGACCAAGGTGCAATGGAGTACAGGCCATCCTATCTGATCAGGAGTTTTTTTCAGTGGTCAGTATGCAAATCTTTTTTTAAATAATGAAATTTATAATTAGACATCACTTTTCTACATCGATGGATAAGTGACTGCCAGAGTTAATTTCATTGAAGAAAAAAATGTCATCATCATTTTCGCGACAAACAAGTTTTTATTGATGAAAACTAGACAAAAACGAAATAAAATTGTGATGATGATGACAACTATAATAAAAACATGCTGACATTTTCGTTGACTATTAAAAACAAGATGAGAATGTGACATTTGGAAAGTAACTGGTCTACAGTAGACGCTGGATGCAATTACTTCATATTCTATAGGGACGTCTGTCTGATTAAACTATGTATAGATGGCAACAGCTGAGAGAAAAGGAAGATTCACGTTAGATGTCAAGACAAAGAGACTAAACTTTATGGGGAGAAAATACCTGATAAAAACAATAAAACTAAAGCAAATTCGCGCAAATGTAAACTTGGGTCTTTTTATTTAACCAAGTGTTTGCTTTTGCTTAACTGAAACGGAATAGCCTTTCACTAAACTACATTTAGTCAACTAAAATCTTATGAAATTTAGTCGACTAAAACTAGCCTAAAACTAAACGGATTCAAAAGACTAAAATATGACTAAAATTAAAATGGAATTTTAGTCAAAAGACTAAGACTACAACTAAATCTAAATTTGCTGTCAAAAGTAACACTGGTGACCGCACAGGCATTACAGACAAAGAGCATGTGTTCGTGTGATGGAAATGTATTATCTCCCTCCCTGTTAAATTTGATCTAGTCCATGTCCTTGAAACACACTCCCTCTCTCCTGCTTTCGCATCTCATGCTAACAGAGAGAGCGATTCGTTTTTGAATGAATCTTCATTACGAACGACTCATTCTCTTGGCTGACAATAATACAAGTTTCGAGGACCGCAGCATCTTGTTGTCAAATTTCATTTAGATTTTTTGCTGATTTTATTCAACCAAACCAGCATCAGCCTACTATTTGAGTTGCTGCTACTTTCCTTAGGATCAGCGCACTGTATTATCATCAATACTTGTTGAGCACAAAAGTTTGTAACATATAAAATGTAAAAACTAAATCTTACCTATGAAATGTTCTGCCTTTATGCTTTGTTTTCTTTGTTTGCTCATTACTACACCTGTACACAGCGCTAAAGTCCAGCATCTTCACATTGGCTTTAGTCTTGACTAGTGCGGTTGAATGACATTTGTCCTGGGAGCACTGTACAAATGTGGCGTGCTATTGACGCATGCTCAGGGTCCGTATGCTATATCTAGTGCAGTGGTTCTCAAACTGTGGTACGTGTACCACTAGTGGTACGCAGGCTTTCTTCTAGTGGTACGCGGATGAATCAAATATGTAATATGTACATGCTACATATATTTAATAAATTATCAAAAATGATTTATATATGAATATGATGACATTACGCCTATATTTATGCGGTCCAGGCAACATTTCCAGGTGCTAATAAACCAGGAGTTATACTATTATTATTTTTTTACTTTTTAAGTACAGTAACCTACCCTTTTTTACTTTAAAAGCACATTTTAATTTAAATGTACTCAATAATAGGAACTAATATGCCTCGTTTTTGTACTGTACAGAGCTTAAGCTGTTTTACTAGACCTAATACGCTACTGTATTTCAAAACTGCTCATTATGGTGGTACTTGCAAAGACCACTTTTTTCTGAGGTGGTACTTGATGAAAAACGTTTGAGAACCACTGATCTAGTGTATATATCTTTGTTTGTCTGTGAGCATGTGTGGAAGTCCACAGATTAGATATTAAAACTGCAAGGGTTTAAGATGACAGTTGTGTTCGTTTAGTTTATAAATGACTCAGTTGTTTTTAATAAATCATTTAAATGGGTGTTTAAATTAATCTCTCGTTAATAATACTTCACAGATTACAGTTAATCCAGAACTCAGCAGCGAGGGTAGTCACCCGCTCACCTGCTTCTGAATACATAACTCCAATTCTCTTTCACTTGCATTGGCTTCCTGTTTTTTATCGTGTACAATATAAAAAATTTGTATTAACTCACAAAGCTCTTCACAACCTGGCATCCGATTATCTCTCTGATCTTCTTCACTGGTACATTCCTCGGCGCTCACTGAGATCTTTTGTGACTGAACAGTTATCAGTTCCAAATTTTAAGATGCAATCATTTGGTGGCAGGGCTTTTAGCTGCAACTGTGGCCACAGTTATGGAATTCCCTGCCGTTAGATATTCGTCAGGTGGACTCTATCTTCAATTTTAAATCACAGGTTAAAAACTTTCTGTTCAGGATTGCTTTTAATGATTTTCTGGATTCATATTATTTTTATTACTGTCTTGTTTTTATAATGTGCCTGTGACATACTGTAAGGTGTCCTTGAGTGCTCTGAAAGACGCCTATAGATAAAAGGTATTATTATTATTATTATTATTATTATTGTTATTATACTTAACCCTCGCTGTTTTATTCTATATAGATCTGAGAACATTTCTTCCAAATTTCAAATAAACCATTATTCACAATGGCAACTGGTCAAAATAACAAATGTTTTCATTTGCTGTGGTTTCAGGGATATTCCACTAAATATTGATTTCTTGACTGAACTAAAACATTGATATTGTGCTGCCTGAAATGAATATGACATAAACATGACACCTTTTAATATACTTTAAATGACAGCTATTTGATATTTTGAAGGAATGTCATCAGTAGCTTACAAAATAAAACCAAAAGAACGTACAGGAGAAATTATGTACAAAGACAGGAGAATGTGTCATCAAAACACCATCCAAAAACAGAAAGGAAAAATGTGAAATGTGTGAAAGGGCTGCTCTTACACACTCCACAACAAAACAACTCAACCAAATTACTCCCACAAATGCAAATTCTCCCTCATTAACCATTATGTAATGAGTAATCAATAAAAACAAGTGGCATATGGAGCAATGCTAAAATCCATGTCCTCATAAAATCTAATTAGACATACTTACATCATTTCACTTGCTCGTCAGCATCATTTCTCTTCTTGATGGGGAGTCTGAAACGAGAGACCGAATAAGATAAGAATGTTAACAAGTACAATCTCTTTTGGGGAAAACTTTTATTACACAATTCAACTTGAAATACGTTACTGAAGTGAAGGAACACAGGCATAGATTGAGTCTCTAAAGGGACACAAAAGTCATTTCTGAGTCACTCAATGGAAAATAAAGCAGGCAAAAGTTTCTGGCACACATTAAACGTATCAGACAGTAATATGACACCGCTTTCAGAGTGAATTACCTTACTCTGATTATATTTGCTTTCTGTTGGCTTACTCTTTCTGACGAAACAATTCACCTTTCTTGTTCAAGTCAATGACAAGCATGACTGCTTCCCTGAAATCCATTTTCTCATTTACTGGATGTATTCAAATTCAAAATGCTGAATTAACAAAGTGTAACGTTGTTTTGATAGTGTACCGGCACAAACCTGTCAGTGGCAGCAACACCCATGCATTTCCTGTGTTTATTCTGAAACACATTGTGAAATCTAAAACCTGTTTTGCTACCATGCTGCAATAAACTTCTGACCAACGGCATGGCACAGTGAACAAAGAACATGCATAACGATATTTGAAATGCTTCATTGCCTGCCTTGCATTTAGCATATAAAACACTACAGGCCACATAATGCAATGCTTTCCCCACCATATGTTAGAGCTACCTGGAGTTGCTGCTTAACTAAATAGGACAACAATAAGGTCAATCTGACAACAAAAAAAAACAGATCTGATGTGAATATGGAGAGAAGAGGCAAGTGGCCATTCACTCCAGTAAAGTCTTTTTCCAGGAAGGCCCTTGTGATAACAGATCATATATTCATGTAAAGATATCAGATATCAAAACAGCTTTGATTATGTTCAAGTTGGTGTCAACAACATAAAACCAAATAGCCGCTAAAATGAATATTAACTCAGGCCAAATACTAGATCTCAAAACGGAACACTCGATTTGACTATTGCAATGAGAATTGAAACGGTGATATAATGAAGCCACTCAATGGAAAACAGAATCCAGATGTTCTGGATTAGCATCTTATGTTTAACCCACATGTGATTATTAAAATAAATGGTGCAATACTGGGCAAAAATAAAAGTAAATCTAATGGATGTATTGTTAACACCTAACTATCCAATTTCAAGTGACAAACTGATGATAATTAAAGAAAATAAAGGCTCTCCAAACGTTTCTTAATTGATTACTTTTTTAATGCCAATGTGTGAAGAGATTGTTCTTTAGCTAAAATAAACTTCCTGGGTTGTGTGTGAAAGCCTGTAGACTGCTGTTTAATATCGATCTGTCACGGCATGAAAGTGATTCATTCAAACTATAGTCTTACATAGCCAGATCTATAGTCTGTAGTCTTAAATATTGTTTATAATTCAACCATCGTAACAATTAGTCTGATTACAGCATCTGTTGACATGATTTTGTATGCTTGGAAATGCAGATATCCATAATCAGATGCTTCTCAACTTCTGAGTCTCACTGGGCCATCAATTCTAGACACCCAGATCAATAATCCAATAATGATAATGATCCAAAATCTCCCTTAGCGTAAAATGTGAATACTATCAAAATTACTGACAATTTCTCCTGCGTTATAACACTAATTTAATATTAATTTTGAGTTTTATTTTCTCACTGATTCACTGTACCCAGGACTTGGAGGGACACATGTAAAAAATAAATCAAATAAATGTTACAAGAACTTTTTTCCACATTTTAAAACAACTGTTTTAGTGAAACCGTTAAATGTGCCAACAATTAAACTAAAATTAACAAATAATTTAAGGGAACAAATTATTAATTATTTTTTCATATGTTTACAGACACTGGAAGTTGTGGTGCCCATTAATATTCATTCATTCATTCATTTATTCATTCATGTATTTTTTTTTTTGGCTTAGTCCCTTTATTAATACGGGGTCCGCGGGAATTAACCGCCAACTTATCCAGCATATTTTTGCACAGCGGATGCCCTTCCAGCCACAACCCAGCTTTGGGAAACATCCACACACACTCATTCACACACACACTCATACAATACGGACTATTAAGACTACCCAATTCACCTGTACCACATGTCTTTGGACTGTGGGGGAAACCAGAGCAGGGAGCAAGGGAGAACATGCAAACTCCACACAGAAAGGCCAATTGACCCAGCCAGGACTCGAACCAGCGACCCAGTTCCCTTCTTGCTGTGAGGCATCAGCACTACCTACTATGCCACTGCGTTGCCGTCTATTAATTTTCAAAAGTCAAAAAATAGAATGGTGCATAATGTCAATTCATTCATTATTTTCTTTTTGGCTTAGTCCCTTTATTAATCTGAGGTCGTCACAGCAGAATGAACCGCCAAATTATCCAGCATATGTTTTACACAGTGGATCCCCTTCCAGCTGCAACCCATCTCTGGGAAACATCCATTTACACTCATACACTACCGATAATTTAGCCTACCCAATTCACCTGTACCGCATGTCTTTGGACTGTGGGGGAAACCGGAGCACTCGGCGGAAACCAATGCAAATGCGAGGAGAATATGCAAACTTTACACAGAAACAGCACAGTCACCACTGCATTTCAGCCTTGACTGAATATAATTATCTCTAGTTAGATGTCCGAAGAGACTGACCAAGCTGATGCTCAACCAACATATCTGACAGATAAGAAGGTGACAGGCCATTTAGAGATTTGACATAGCTAACATCAAAAATCATTTGTGGGTTGCTTCAAGATTTTCATATGGGTTTATATTTTGGATTTGGTAATATGGTGTGGTAAACATGACTTGATAAACTTCTTTCTTCTACAACATGCACAGTTTGGCACACCAAGCAATCCTAGAGTTGCATATTATGTACATTTTTAATATGAAACAGCTTCAAATTTTACTTATATAAAGGTGTGCCATAAAGTAGTATCATAAAGTTATGTTCAACACAAGAGGATAACACAACTTTAAAAAAAAAACTTAATGTGCATACTGCAGGAAAGTCTCCAGAAACCCCATTTTGAATTATTCCTCTGGGTTTTAACAATATTCCTGCACAAAACTATTTAGAGTACTTATAACTAGAGCAGCCCCTCAGAAAATCATAATCAAATACGGCTGCTCATCACATTTACTATATCAAAACAGTATATACAGTTTATTAGTATTTGTGTGTGTTGTACACCTCTATCTTTGAATGTGATACTTCAGCACTGTGTGAAATATGGTAAGTAAGGGATGGTTCTAGAAAAAGATTTTGCTGGTTGTTCTCCACTTCACATCAGGCTGCTGATAAGCCTGTCAGCCATTATTCTGAGAAAACAGCCATCTGGATGTATGTTGTCCTGCTTAACATGGCTACTTGCCACAAATGTAAAGTGCTAGACACAAAACATTACTCTGTGCTGTAAAGGTTAACTAATTCTTTAATTAAATGTAAAGTTTGCAAAAAGAAAAATGGCTGGGTGCAGCCTACACTAACCTAACACGATAGGTGCATCCCAAATCGTATACTTATGCACTATTCTATTCACTATTCTATTTTGTAGTATAAATAGTTTAAGTAGTGCATTCACACTGAAATCTCTAAAAATAATAAGTGAACTTTAATTACCCGGATGATGCACTCATTCAGCCGGTAAAATAAAGTGTGTAATGATGGACACTTTACTCACTCAACGACCGCAATTTTGCTCACGTAGCGGAAGGGGCGGAGCTATCGGCCGCACATGTTGGATAACTTTAATTTTTTTGGATTGTGAAAGCAAAATTCTCATACGAGAGTGGTTATGGTGCCTCCCGGTCCCGATGGTGAATGCGGTTATACTCATGACAGGTATTCTTTGGTAGTTTGGTCATTTATTTTAATAATCTGGCAACCGTCAAACATCATCAGGAAAACAGTTTGAATTTCCGCTTAGTAAAAGACATTAGTGTTCCATTTGGGACGACACTACACACATATACTATGCTGTTGAGTGTGTAAATGCATAAATACATGGGGTATAGTGTACCATTTAGGACACAGCTGATGTTTGACTATATTCGCTAATGTTCAGGATTATTTAAAGTACCTGGATGAGCCTGTGTTAATTTCAACATTTGACTTATGAGAATAACATACTTTGGAATTTCATAATTGACCAATGAGAACAAACTATTCCAGAGAGCCGTGTAATAATAGCTTTTATCAACTGCTATTAATAGACGCATCCATCTTGGTTTTCTGACTTGTTAACTGGCACTTACTAACAAGGACCATCTAGCGTGCCTGTAAAGTCCACAAGACCGATGTGTGTCCCATATTCAATTTTAGCTTTAATAAGGGTTCTTGCTAGTGCCTCCATTGTAGCCGCTATGCATCCTGGATGCTCACAGCTGAGCCTGCACTAAGGCGACTTAGCAGACTTTTGCACAACAATCAAAGTGACATTATATCACAATAGAATTGACTTGGATGATGACCATGAGGGTTTAGGGTGCATTTTGTAACATGGCTTTCCACATTAGTTCACAAGTTTGTGAATAGAAGTAAAACAAGGAAACACATAATGGCAGCATGTCTGATGTAATTTGTCCAAATTTAATTTATAATTTATCCCACAGCCAATATAGTACTTTTAAGTATGAAAGTTCAAAGCAGTGCATGCTGTAATCATTTATGTTTGGTGAACAGCTCTTTGCAGACTCATGGGTAATTCAACAGGGATTCCACTGCTAAACATGATCATTTTAAAAAGTTTAAAGAACTTTTGATGGGTTCAACATTTCCATACTGACTAACATTCTCAAAGAAGGATGTGTTTTTAAAGAATTTGATGCTAACAATCCATGTTTGCTGTAGTTTTGATATAAAACGTTTAGCAATATCAAACATCAAAAGTAGTTTTCTCTTTTAACTTTTAACTCAAATACTAATTTCACTCCATAACCGTAAGACTCAAACTATCAGTTAATTCTTCCCTTCAGTTCAGATGAATCAGAGAGACAAGCGCCATATTCGTATTAAGTTATTACAGACTGGGCTGTTGACTCGTGAACAGCTCAGAACGATTTGTAAACGATCCACTATTCCAACTCAAAAGAGCGATTCATTCTGGAAATGAACATCGCTACTGACATCACTGGGCACGGAAACACTGACACAGTTATCTACACCCAAAGGAGGAAATTGCATGTAAATAAACTAGCATAAATCAACTGGTAAAAATCCAACATCTACAAATGTCAGACTGGGGAAAACACTAGACACGAGTGTTTGTATACGCGCACACAAAACAGCTTCATAGTCCAAAAGGCGTTTAAACACATGGGAAAATATTAAAAAATGAAGTATAAACAAAAGTATTCGGCGATTAAAAGGCTTGCTAAAGCAAAAAGACAGTTTCGCCGTTACTTCAGTCTTGACTCTGAGATCACCCGCTTGAACTCGCATTGTGAAATATTTGCAGAATGTCTCACCTGAGCAGTTCGCGCCTCTGACTGACGTTAGTACTCTTACGTGTCCTACTCCGCTCAAAAATAAGGTAAAAGCAGCAGATACAGAGTTAGACTTTTCCCGCTGTTATGAGGAATGTCTGTCCTGTTGTGCAGACTAGAAGAGGCGCGTGACTTCGTGAGTGTTTTCAGAGCTCGGCATCCTGAACTCGAGCTCCGCCACCGTTGCTTGCTCTGAGTTTCCCGACGGAGGAAAGAGAGAGAGAGAGAGAGAGAGAGAGAGAGAGAGAGAGAGAGAGAGAGAGAGAGAGAGAGAGAGAGAGAGAGGCGCGGGTGGCATATTGCGTCACACCCTAATCGACATCATTGTTCAATTTTTGGCAAGGGAAGCAATGTCTGCAATATTGTTCTGATGACGCTTTCCTCAAACGAATGAATTTCATTGAAATATAATCGGAAATAGCTACTGCCTATGCCATTGAATATTTGGAGTGTTAATTTCTTTATTTTCAGTCATAAGCACTACGTAATAACAAAAAGTTGAACTTGGAAATATCCTTTGTCACACTTCAGTAATAATGTGGTATAAAAATGATAATAAACTATCAATAATGTTTCCACAATGGCTCAGCCAAATCAAACGAGCATCTTACTGTGTGATTAAATCACTTGCAATGTTCATGGCCATTACCTCATCCGCATGATTTCAACATGCTGTCATCATCTAAAGTGAGCGCGGAGACTCCCACGTGACGTGCTTCTCTCTGCTGTTATGTGATCGATATTATGACCACACACTGAGGTCACAAGAAATGAACACATTTAATGATGTGCTATAAAATAAAACCATTAAATAATGAAAAATTAAATAATAATCCATCTCTCATATACCTCAAAAATGGTTCTGAATATTCTAAAAAGGCCTAATAACAAAACTTTTTACAATGCCATATTATAACTGTCTGCAACCAAATGGATTAAATGAGAAATCAATAAGGCTCAATAAGGTTTTTATCAGGTCTTTTAAAATTGTTATCATATTTACAGAATAAACCATAAGCAAACATACTCAAAATCCCTGCCAAATCCACAGAGCTGATACTAAACATGACCATGATCTACTTTTCCAAAGCTGTATTTGATTTAACCAAAATTAAGCCTTAATATTATAGCAATATTACAGCATTCATCTCTGCCTCTGACATCTATGAACCTTGGATAATTTTGAGACCTTTTACATAAAATATTCACTATATTTTGCTTCACATTTGTGAATGCAGATACTGTGCCAACAACAAAGCAGCACAGAGGTTAACAGTGATGCTCAGAGGCTGCAATGTTTGTCAACCTTTATCAGTCTTTTCCAGGCCCATATTCACATATTGCTGCTGCAGCCAGTGCTCACAATAACCATTTAAATGCATGGCATGCACTCTGTGGCTCGTCTCATGCTGAGAACACCATGTATCTCCTCAGCAGATCACAGCGGGTTGGACATAGTCAGCAGGAGGTGACCATGATTGTCAAAACCTTATCAAAATCTATTACTATGGGAACATATTAGAAAATTAGAATTTAAAATATAGGGTATGTACTTAGTACATTACAGTCTTTACGTATTGAGCACATTTTTAACAGTATAGTTTACCCAAAGTGCTTCACCAATCAATAATACAATGACTTAAACATATAAATGTGCATGGGAGGGGGAATCAATATTCCAAATCTGATTTAAAAATATCTAGTGATGAGGCTGACTTCACATATAAAGGGAGACTATTCAATAATTTGGAACAATCACCTTTAATCTGCAGCAGCTGTAATGAATTATGTGTTTACCATTTGTCAACACTAACTGGGGAATAAAACTGGCAGGCACAAGCATAATAAGACATGCTATATTCTGAAAAATAACACTCTGGGGAAGCATGTACAATAATAACAAGAGCCCTAAAACTGACCCTTGGGGTACACCATAAAAACAGGAAGTACAGTTGAAATCAGAATTTTTAGCCCCCTTTTGATTTTTTTTTCTTCTTTTTTAAAATATTTCCAAAATGATGTTTAACAGAGCCAGGAAATTTTCACAGTATGTCTGATAATGTTTCTTCTTCTGGAGAAATTATTTGAGCCTTAATTAGTTTTATTTCAGCTAGAATAAAAGCAGTTTTTATTTTTTAAGATTATTTTTTATTTTGATCCATTTTATGGTCAAAATTGTTAGCCCCTTTAAGCTATTTTTTTCGATAGTCTACAGAACAAACAATCATTATATGATAACTTGCCTATTTACCCAAACCTGCCTAGTTAATCTAGTTAAGCCCTTAAATGTAAAGTATTGAAGTGTCCTGAAAAATATTTAGTAAAATATTATTGTCACAATCATCTAATCCTGGCAGATCGCTGGTAAACACACAGATCACATAGAACTATAAACAAATCCGCCATTATATGTACTACAAGTTCCAGTCATGCACTCCACACACACACCGGTTCCTAATTGCTAAGACACACAGCTGAAGCTGTTCAGAACTGATGACATGGACTTTAAAAGCAACACAGACACACACTAGTGATGCGTTTTCCTTGGCTTGTTTGCCGTGTTTTTGACCCTTGCCTTGTTTGTTTGTTTATGTTGTTTGCTGACTGCCTTTTAACCATCTGCCAGTTTACTTACCACGACTCTACATTGCCTGTATACATTTGTTAACCTCTTTATTGACCGTTGCTTGCCTGACCATCTCTGTTTAATAAAGCTGTGTTTGGATCCGCACTTCCATTGTCAGCGTCCCGCTTCACATAACAATTATGTACTGTCATTATGGCAAAGATAAAAGAATTCAGATATTAAATATAGAAAGGAGTTATTAAAACTATTAAAACAATTTATTAACTATGTTAATAAATGTGTTGAAAAAATCGTCACTCCGTTAAACAGAAATTGGGGGGGGGGGGTGGATAAACAGGGGGGCAAATAGAAGCGTTGCCTAACTTGTATTTTTTTTTTTTTTTTTTTGTATTGATAACAAAATTTTGTCTAAAATTGAATGCGTACTTCCCTTACATTTATTAGATTTTAATTAATGAATGTTTACATTTTGTTTTACATCTTTAACAAATTTACATGGATGCAGTTTTTATCATGTCATTTTATCTGCATTTAAAACTGACCGTAATGTAGTTCCATTTGATTCTTTTTCATTTGAAACATTTATGCTGTTCTCCCTCTTCAAGGATACAGGTGATGCTGCAGTAAACTATGACAACAGAGTAAATGCGTGTGGGTATGTTTGCATGTGGGATGCCAATGGTTTTTATGAGTCTTAGCATAGTGTAGGTGTTCTTTGACAGCAGGGGGCTGACGCTCTCCTTCTGCCCAGGTCTGACCCTGAGGAAGGAGACAAGTCATGCATAACATGAGCTGTGGTTAAATCACTAGTGCCTGGGAAGCCCTGCAGTCTGATTGGGGAGGGCAGAGGAGTATCAGCGAGGGCGAAATTTCAAATGAGTCATGGCAATCCCTTAATACTGCATTATGACTGCACAGCTATTGATGCACTGCATGATATATAGTACAAGTTTAGAAAACAGATATTAAAAAGCACTAAAACACATGGAAAATATTTTTCCTCAAAATTACAAGGGGATGTAAGTTTCTGAAATGCAAAAACTTTGGAAAGTATGTTTTTCTGTTGTAGCTCATATGTTACATCTGACGATTTATGTGGCAAAATATCAACAGTGATGACAGCAAGAATAAATAAAAAATAAAATAAAACTTTTACTGCTTACTTTTACTGCTAAACAAAATAAATGAGAGTCACACTGAGAGTGAAACTGTGATAAAGTGCTAGAAACAAGCAAATCCCACAACCAGGGAATATCAGAAAGTCTGAAATTGCTTACTTCTCTACGAAATCAAAAAAGTATATTCTGTTATATACTGTACATAGCATGGTCTGTATAACTTCATAGTATTAAAAAATAGTATATGAGATATGGCCACATGAGCTACTTCTACAGTATTTCCAACTAAAAGTCCTAAAAGGTTTTAAGCCTTAGAAATGTAATCTGGGAAAGTATTGTGTTTATTGTACTGTACATCAAATATATGCAGTTTCTGTCATTAAAAAACACTAAAAGAGTGGCAGAAGCAATTACCAAACCAAGGGGTAAATGAAGAAACAAATTAAAATCTCTCAAAATCAGAGACTATTCTGGACCACTCGATATTGCTTTTCCTCAGGCTAAATACAGTATACTAACTGTATAATAAAGTAGGTATTAATGCCACACTTAAGATTCTCAAGTTCATACATATATATATATATATATATATATATATATGTCATGATTCGTTTATGTCTAGATGTTGTTATTGTGTATGTGTTGTGTCATGCGATTCCCCATGTGCTGTGCTCCATGTGCCTTCTGTTTATGTCATGTGATTTCTTTGTTGTTTCCCTGTTTTTCAGCCCTGTGTTAATGTTAAGTAGTTCTATAAATGTTCCGTTTACACCCAAATGTGTCTTTCATTCTTTGTCCTTTGTTTGTTCTTTTAAACCTTTAAGAGTTTACAGTGTTAAATTAGTTCAGACATATTACAGAATTACTTTTCAGGACCATTTTATCTCAAGTCCTGCATCTGAATAAGCATACTTCATAGTTGCTTAAAAAGCTGGTGGGCATTGACCAAACAGAGGGTTTACAATTTATAACAAAGAAGAGGTTAACTTTTATTTAAGAAAATGTGAAAACATTTTAGACTGCCTGCAGACTCTGATCACTCATGTCAATCTTGAGCATTGTTTTATATTTCTTGTTTTCATTTCAGTTGACTTATTTACACTGCTTTCTGTATTCCTTCAGGATATTATCACTCTGGAAGTTTATTTCATTGATTTGTTTAAGTTATTAGGAAATAGAGATATATCATAACTTCTACTATTTTTTTTTCCGAATATTTGATTGTACAGTACTGTTTCCCTTTTGGGAGCAGGTCAGAAAATAGCCTATTACTTCAAAATTATGATACATCTAATCTGATGCAGAAAAAAATCTTGATGATGTCATAAATGGACCTCAAAGAACACTACAATATAAACACAAAAGGCATTTGTAACCCCTTTAAAGGGGTTTCTGTTTTTTTTTTTAATAGTTTTTCCCCTGTTGTCTGGTGTAACCTTTGTGCTGTTTTAACTTTAAAAAGTCAAAAGTCATGATATCCAACA